TATGTGTATGTATGTATATGTACCGGTATGTGTATATTTTATATGTGTGTGTGTCTACATATGTAACAGTATTCCAGTATTTGAGAAACTGCCACAAACAGGAAGGGGTCAACTTATTTTCCAAAGCACCAGAAAGCAAGACAAGAAACAATGGATGGAAACTAATCAAAGGGAGAAGCAACCTGGAATTAAGGAGAAACTTCCTAACAGTGAGGACAATTAACTAGTGGAACAGCTTGCCTTCGGAAGTTGTGGGTGCTTCATCACTGGAGATTTTAAAGAAGAGACTGGACAGCCACTTGTCTCAAATTGTATACAGTCGCCGGCTTGAGCAGGGGATTAGACTACAAAGCCTCCAAGGTTCCTTCCAGCTCTATCCTGATTGATATATATATATTAGCATAATTACTGTTTAGTTAAAAAAAAAACCTGGAATTAACTTTTGCTTAACTTCATAGTTGCAATCACGGAGAAATTTTTGCAAAGGCTTATATGTCCACTGAGACTGAAGTCTAATCCTGTTTAGCATAGTTTCCATTTAATTAGGTTAGTACTAACCTTTAGGAGGTAAAAGAAACTGAGGAAAACAGATTAACTTCAAATAGGTTAAGAAATAGTTAGAGGTTTTTATAGGAAACACAAATGCTGTATTTGTTACAGGGAATTAAATGGGTCTCTTGAGTGGAAAACTGTTTCCTAAACATCACATGGGATGTTTCTTTTGCTCCACATCAAACAGTGACCTGTAGGAAGATGGAAAAAATTGTGCACTTGGTATACAGCATATGGCCTACTGGAGAAGAAATTGCTTAATGCATGTATTTTTAACATATATCCTTATTTTACCATGACTTCATCTGTATGAAGGATGAGTAACTTTGTTTAGCCTTTAATGTTTTAAAGTTTAAAGAATAAATGATTAAGAAATGAGCAAGGAGTTTGCAAGCCCTCTTTTGTTCGTGTAAAGTAGATGTAGCCTGTATTGATAGTGGGAAAGGGACTGCATTTGGGGACTGATTTAACTGGACCTTGTGTAACTGACCAGGTTGTCCAACCCCCTGCAAATAAACTATCTGGAGTTTGAGTATAGTGATCTTGATTGAGAAAACAAAACAGAATCAACCTTGCTGTAAAACAGCAAAGGATTAGAATAGAATAGAATAGAATAGAATAGAATAGAATAGAATAGAATAGAATAGAATAGAATAGAATAGAATAGAATAGAACAGAATAATCAGTTGAAAGGGACCTTGGAGTCTTCTAGTCCAATTCCCTGCTCAAGCAAGAGATCCTATATACCCGTGATGGCGAACCTGTGGCACGCAGAGCCCTCTCTACAGGCACGCCAACTGTCGCCCCAGCGGAGCTCCACCGTGCATGCGCCTCCCGCTGGCCAGCTCGTCTTCGGGTCTCTGTCGCGCATGCACAGGGGGCGGGGCCCATGCGGGGGACGCGCGTGGCATGCATGGGGGGGTGCATGCATCCTAGTTGGTGCAGGCTTTCCAGCCCCCAAAAAGGGTGCGGGGAGCCCCTGCGCCCCATTTTGGCTTCCAAGTTGGTGCAGGCTTTCCAGGCCCAAAATGGGGCGCAGGGGTGTGCATGTGCTGGGGTGCATGCACGGGGGCGCTCGCATTGCATTTTCGGGGTTTGGGCACATGCATGTACATTTGCGCACACGCTTTGGGCACTCGGCACCAAAAAAGTTAACCGTCACTGCTATTTACCATGCCAGACATGTGGAATGCCAGTCCCTTCTTAAAAGCCTCCAGTGATGGAGCAGCCACAACTTCTGAAGGCACTGTTCCATTGGGAGAGAAAGCTGTGGCACTGTTTTTTTCTCTGACCTCAATGTGTTTTCTCCATTCCCAAATAGGAAAAAAGTAGATGAAATATCTTTGAATATTAGTAGCTTGGGTTGGTAGTTGGGCGGTTGCTTTGAGCTCCGAGCTTGGCAGTTGGCTTGCAAATGTTTCATCACTTGAGGCGACATCATCAGTGTGCTTTGAATTGTGCTTGTCTGTCAGAATGCTAGCCTTAAATACCTTTTTATGTGATGCATTCATGCACGTGAATGGTGACGAAATGTTTGCAACCAAATTGCCAAGCTTGGAGCGCAAACCATCAGCCCAAAAAAGTAGATGTTTTTCCAATCCATAAATATCCAAATAAGGGTCTAATATAATTACTCTGGCCTATAATTTGTGGTTATCTAAGAAAGTGATAATAGGATACTATTTATCATTGAGTCATCTTAACTATTGTTGTGGCCCGCTGGTGGGCAGCAGAACTGGCAGCAGAGTCGGACAGCGAGGAGGTTGGGCCAGAGGGCTCTGCATTGGAGAGGCAGAGAAACAGCTGGAGCCTGTTCCCAGTGTGTGCATGTGCAGATCTGCCAGAAGACAAGAACAACTAAGAAAGCAGGGTCAACTTGGGAGTAAAGCCACACCTTGGGGGTGATTGGCCCCTCCCATAGGAAACAAAAGAGGAGTGAACAGGGAGTGGGCTTTTTCAGGAAACAATTCAGTCAGTTGGTTTAAGAGTGGAAAGTTCTGTTCGTGACTCTAAGAGACTCTGTGCCAAGTTTTGCCTTACACCGCCTTTTGAAACTAGTCATCTCGCAGCTTTCCAAGTGAGATAAGGTTTGTGTTGATAAATATTACTCAGAAAGACTGTTTGCCAAGCCTTGCTGACTGTGAATGCAAGGAATTCAGTCATGTAAATAAAGGGGGTTTTGCCGGGGCCAAGACTCTGCTTCATGCTTTTTAAGGAAGCCTAAGTCAGAACTATAAATCAATCATGGTTGAACCCTGGGCACAGAAATATTCAGCTGTATTATTTCTAACCCAGTCTAGAGAGGCAATGCAGTGGTTAAAACATCAGCCTAGAAACCGGGAGACTGTGTATTCTAGTCTTGCCTTATGAACAATGCCAGTTGGTTGACCTTGGGCCAATCACACTCTCGGCCCTAGGAAGGAGATAATGGCAAACCACTTCTGATATCTTGCCAAGAAAACTGCAGGATGCTGGCTGGGGGATTCTGAGAGTTGAACTTGCCAAGCTTGAGAAATCCTGCAAAATTCAGACTGTGGATGCTGATGTGCTTAGAAGCCAAATGCTTTCATGAAACAGCAAAAGAACTTCAAAGGGTATATGCTGCTATGTGCTAAAACATCCGCCTTTCTTTGTTCCATAATTTTTTTTCTAATGCCTACGCTGGCAGGGAATTTGGGGAATTGTAGTCCGGTCTAACAATTCCAGGAAGCATGAGGTTGGCACACAAATGCCTTAATAACTTCACAGGAAGAAAAAAAGCCTCTTCCAACAGAACCAGGAACTTTAAATAGAACTGACTGGAACATTTGACTACAGCATTGAAAAGAGAAAGAAGTTTTATCTTTAAAGCAATGATTCATTCCACCTTCGCACCCTTCTCATCAGAAGGGCTCTTGACCCTTTAAAAAAAAAAAAGGTGAAAATGTTGATATAGTGAAGTTGCTACACTGCCAGACTGTAGGAGGGCAAATTACCACAGCTTTAAATTAAAAAAAAAAAAAAAACCCGCAGATTGCTCATCTTGAGAAAAATTGCCATTATATCTTAGCCACCTTTTGCTGTCTACCATTATATTACATTTCTTGCCTTGCCTCCAGTCCCACTTAATCTATTGTTAGAACATGAAGCTTCAGAGACTGACCTGAGGTAGCCTTCTTTATTTCTTTGCAGAGCCAAAACATAGATTGGATGCAATATTCCTCAGCCTCATGGTACCTCATGGTATAAAACTGGCCAATTAATCAGCTTTACCTTGGATGCCTATTGTGCAAAAGAAGCTTCACTGGGTTGATTCAGGCCATCCTTTGAATTATGACACAGTTTGCCTACAGTATCTTACTATTACAGTGCAGCAGTGATTGTGGTCAAGAAGCCACAAGGCTAGGGAGGATTTTGAGAATTTCATTCTCTTGACCTCTTATCCACTAACTTACTCTCCAACTCTTGTGTAGAAAGGAGACTTCAAGCGCAAACAGTATTGAAAGCAATGATAAAGTAATATTTGAGCTTATGCACCCACCAATAAAGCCAACAGGGTTCATAATATCCAAGCAACTAATTACAAAAAGTAGGTAAGAATAGAGGAGTTTGGAAAAACTGTTTTTTCCTCTAAGAAATTTTAACAAGCAACACAGTAGGCCGAGCTGTTCATGCTGTAGAAACAGTTATTACAGAAGTTAGGACAAAGCATATACAATCAGTGGGATTTATACATCCAAAATTACAGAGCTTGGTTTATTTTCAAAAGTTTCTGCTTGGCACAGTATTTTTTTTAAAAAAATTAAAAAGTGATAAAGGTTTACTCTCGAGTTACACTAACTTGTATGAAGTGATCTTGTCATTAAGAGGGTGGAAATTAAAGAATCCCATCCAATACCCCTTGCAAATAAAGGCCGCAAGAGAAAGTTTTTGATTGTGTGAAGAAATTTAATTCCCAGAACGAGTGGAGGAATAGTTTCTGGGAACTTCATTATTTTTCATGTTGCAAAAAAATTACCAGAAAGGGGAGGGAGAGGGAGGGAATCAAAGGTTTAACATTTCAAATCAATTTATATGACAGACTATGAATTAAAAAAATAGCAGCTGTAGATATTAAACTTAGATCTCCATTTTCATCTCATTTCTGAAATATGTGCATAAAAAGTCTATATAAAGGAAGTGTTTCACAAAGCTTTAGAGACAGTTTCTTCTTTTTAAAAACAACAACTGGTCAGTACAATTATCTACAATAATTTTTCCAGGGGCTTCCATTTCTGTTGTTTTTCCAAACTGTTGAACGAAAGTTGGGGGGGAAAAGCAGATAAATTTTAGATCGTTGGGCAGGTACAGAGGTTGTCAGGAATCCATCACCACACCATATTGCCATACTGAAATATATTTAAGCTTTAAAAAAATATTTCTTTTCAATAGAACATCAAAGGCTTCAATATTAAAGGAAGTCTATTCTATTTTAGATGTGAAACAAATATTTACTTTAGATATTCATCCATGCAGTAGCTACTTCACAACATCCCATGTACAAAGGCTATTAAAAATGCAGGTCATTTTAATGAATGGTTTACACTGAGCAAAATACCTCCATTATGTATGTAAAGCAATCTGTGCAAATTAATATGTTTATCTGTAACAAGGTCCATCCTATCTTTGCTCTGCAGGCAAAATCAGAGCATTCCTGGCAGTTTAACTTAGTGTTATCTAAAAGTTAACTAATTGCCACTAAGTGCTACCTAAATACCACCATTTTATGTCAGCATATGGTTGCCTGAACCCCTAGGACTTCCTTTGGTCCACATCATGTTAAGCTGCGGCTCCTTTTTTCATCCCCTTCATATCAAATGAGTAGTTGACCGACTGAAGGTATGGCTTCTCTTTTCAAATAGTGATGGCAGATTGATCAAGGAAGGAGAATGGATGCTCTATATTGTTTGCGGGAGGAAAGAAAAAGCAAATGTTAAGATTATGATCTCTTGAAGGAAATATATCAATAAAGTACCTTTCAAAATGTGTGAGAGGGTGAAACCATAATCAAAGCTATTTTGGGAAACGGAATGAGAAAATTTTTTTTTGTTTATTCTAAAACACAAATCTTCCAAATGTCCTGTATGTTATACGTGGAATTTCTTACACCCTTTTTTTATCACTAAAAGCAACCCCAAGTGTCTTCAGCAACACGATTGACAGAGATGTGTGTACATTGCATTTATTTTAAAGCAGAGCTTCCCATGATCTTTATGCCCAGCGAAGTTCACATCTGATGTAACCAACCCCAAAAAGAGAGGATAATGGTAAGACCTCATTTGTTATTTAATTTTATTTAAGAGCAGTTTCACCCTATGAAGCTTTAAAAAGATAACTTTGTTGTCATTTTTTTATTGAGAGCACACTGGCCCACACTAAAAATGAAATTATGTTGCCTGCTTTCAAGAGAAAATGTTTGAGTTGCTTATTTCTACCAAATCTTATCTTCTTAGGACCAAATGGCACTCTGTCACTCAGAACAGGTGGTCTTGTTGGGCTCATAGCTGCTCCTCAAAAACAAGGGCAGGAGACTGAGAGGGCCTCTACACAACCATCTTGTGTAACGTTTATGGCAATTCCTAGACCAGGAGTTCCTGCACATGGTCTTTCATGCTTTGGTCATTTCTTGGTTGTATTCCTTAAATGCTTTTACATTGGGCTGTTCTTGAAGACCAGCTGGAAGCTACAGAAGGTGCAGTATTTATAAAAGTACTGAATATGTACTTTTCGGGCCTTCCGGGCCCATTGGCAAACAGGCCATTTCTGGCATCTGGAGGGCCTCCGGGGGGTTGAGGAAAGCCATTTTCATCCTCCCCAGGCTCCTAGAAAGGCTCTGGAGTCTGGGAAGAGTGAAAAACAGGCCTACCGGGCCATCACGTGCCAAAAGCGGGGGAAGCTGCGTGTGGGGGGGGTCGCATGTGCATGGGGCATTGAATTATGGGTGTTGGCATGCGTGTGGACGACCCCTCCACACTCCCTCCGCTTTTGGCACGCGACAGCAAAAAGGTTAGCCATCACTAGCTTTGCACTTGTGGAAAGAGCCAGGTGTTCGAGGCTGGTTTAAAACATGACAGAGGGCCCTTAAACCTCCAGGAAATATTGTGCTTTGAGTAATTATGGGCAGTCATCATTGTGCCTATGCAATACTACTATTTTGCACTGGTTGACAGCAAACTTCCAGATGTGGTTGTCTGGGTGCTGGCTATCATCTTTAAATCTTTATGTGGCTTAGGACCTTTATAAGATTGGGAAAGGAGGGCTTCCTTTGAGTTGTTCTTCCTAGAGGGAATTAGTCTTGGGACCCTTGAAAATAGGCCTTTCTCTGTTACTATTCTTCTTCCTACCTAGAATTAGAGCAACTCCAACACTTTTGGAACAAAAGGTCATTAAGACCTGCTTGTTACAGGTAGTCTTTGGGGACTGAAGTGTGCATGCCCTTCTCATCCCTCCAAATCTGTGATGGAGATCTATGTTGGAAAGCAATTAAAGGTTATAAGTGTTGATTTATTATTGCTAGTTTCATGTTTGTTACAGATGGAATGTATAACACTAGTGTCGGTTGTGACTGAAGCAGCTCATACGCCTGCATGATGAATTAACTAACTAAATTTGCCACTGGTTTTAAAGATCATTGAATGATGTTGATAGTCTGCGCTAGGCAAATGTAGTGAAAACCCAAAGACAAGGAAGGAAAAGTTGGCCACAGTGCATCGCATCCTAGGTCCCCAAAGGTGCTTTTTCAAAAGACAAGTTCTGAGCTGAACTGAAGAAGCTTCTTGGATGAGAAGCAAAATGTCTTCAAGAAAAATAATAACGAAAAGTCCAGTTGCCTTTTGAAAAAGCACCTTTGGGGCAACCATGACCTGGATGACTGAGAATCTCCGTAGACATCTCATCCCAGGCTACTTTGCACCATTGAGACCATGAAAATCTCTTGATGGTTCTGCTACAAACCAGCAGCAGGAGAATATATAGATGTAAAGATTGTGGAAGGATGGACTGTTATGATACGATGTCCACACTGTTTTTGCTCAGGAAAGTTTAGGATTTTTTTTTTTTTAAAGAAGGCTTAATCCAACAACATTTTGAAACTATCATAAACATGAGAAGAAACCCAGAAGTAAGCATTATCTTATCTGATACAGATTGTTAAATCAAAAGATCAAGATAGTGCCCAGAGAACCCAAAGAGAGCCAGAATCCACTGGATTTTGGATAGACCGTGTGCTGTATTTAACACAAATTATTTTGTCTCCAAGAAGTGCCCGCAAAGTGATTATGCTCACTTTAAGCAGTTTAAACTTCATCACTGCTGGTGATTGGATAACAACTGGACAGGGAGCAGCTCTTTAAGTTTTCAGAGCTGGAAGCCATCCGCCCTTCTAGATCATGAGAAGAACGGGCTAGAGGTCGAGATCTAATATTTTGGGAGGTCCCGTCAATAGAGTTGGAACGTTGTATGTTAATGGGATGTTTAATTGTTCCAGTTAAGCTGTATGTAGAAGCAGTACGCATCATCTAAAAATAATACAGGAAGGAGGAAGAAAACAAGGTTAATCTACATATTCCACCCAAGCCAAATTTAAGGATTTTACATACTTACTTTCACTAACACTGATTTTAACTGTAATTAGAGCTCTGCTACTTTCCAATTCAAAATACCAAGAATGTCCTTTGAACCCAACAGTGCAACATATTCAAGGCAGTCTCAGCAAGATCTACTGTTCCCCGATCATGATTTTCTTACCAATATAACTAATCTTTTCAGCTGTTACAGCAATATAAATCTTTCAGAAGGAGAGGGGAAAAAACCCATTCTAGCATAAGGCCACTGGAAGCTGGCAGTTGCATTAAGATAAAGAATGTTTTTGACACCTCCTTCTCTATAAAGATATCCTTAAATAACATCAACACCTGTTGAAATCTTTAGATCTACTTTAACCTTAATAACTATACAAATTATACAGCACATGCATGGAGTCTGAGCAGATGCTGATGAACAAAACGGCGTTGAATGTGTTTTAAGCATATACTTCTGTTTATTTGACTTCCTATCAACCATGCGGAATAGACGTCATATCATATCAACAGATACCATATAAACACTTCTGAATAGAGGTAGTTGTTGGCCTGCGACCAAGGGTATGATGGAGCTGCAGAAGGTAGCTAGGGCTGGTCCTCCGAGTTCCAGCCATCCCAGCACCCCCTGCGGTCATGTGATTGCAATCTGTGTGTTTGGCAGCTGGTTCACACTTACAACATATTATACATGACCATGGGTCTGCCATTTTCAACCTTCACTGTAGATTCCCTCAGAAAGCCAGCATTTCCTTCAAAAGTCAGGGAAGGATGCAAGTTGCTGAGGTAAATCTCTCCCCATCAATGGACCCTCCCCCAGCCCCTCTGCGTTTGTGCTATGCCAGCCACTCATGCACTCCGCAACCCATATCATGCCTCTCATGCATCCCATTGAACTTCCTCAGACCCTTTACAATATGTACCTCTAGTGCATTCCCACATCCACACTGCATCTCTTCAGAGATGCATCCCCACTGCATTCCCTCACAGAACCCCAACATGTGCTTCTTATGCACTCTCTTGCACCCTACCCAACCCACACACACCTCTCTCATGCCACACTGGCACACCCACTCTGACCTGTCCCTTTTGTGAACCCCCTCATTCCCTCTCTCACTTGGCACAGCCACTTAAGTGTCTGGGCCATGTAACTTCCTGCCAATTCCCCCACTTGTGGGAAGCGTACCAGGAGGTTGCCTTGCTCAATAGTTATGAGATTTGGTTAACAGCAGCAAGCAGGCCCACAGCAAACAATGTGATCACACTCAACAGCAGGGGTGTCAAACTTGAGGCGTCACGTGAAATATCACAATTTCCCCCCCTTCGGGGGTGGGCAGGGCTAGCGCATGACGCCTCCAGCCCACGGACCACAAGTTTGACCCCTGCTCTACAGCCATATCGCCTAGTGATGGAAATTCCAATAGTTGTTGTATGTTGAGAACTACCTGTATTCTAAAATGGGATGCAGAAGACTGTAACAAGTTCCATCTGTCCACTGATGAAATAATGACCAGTAGTAAAAGAATTTTTTCCCCTTCTTTGCACACATCAAAAGCCTTTCAAACAAGACTTGAGATAAATAGGCAAAGAGCGGAGGAGAATCTGTTGCCCTTGAAGCACTGCTGAAATAACTAAGCTGCTCATATTTAAGAGAACTTCTTGAACATGATTGTGTTATGATCTCATGTGCAAAAAATATAAAGTTTGGTCTGGTTGGGGAAAGGGGAACAGGAAAGTCAGCCATCACAGGCTTCTGCATTAATTTGTGGCTAAAGAAAGCACCAATTCATTTTAACTGTATTAATGAAAAGTTTTCTCCCCAAGTGATTCAAGTTAGCTTGAATATTTTTAGCAAATTGTTTTTTGTCTGTAACAGGTTCTTCATATAGCCATCTGTGCATTCACACGTGTAAATTCATGTCTGCACAAACCAGTGATGAAAGGCAAGACTCATTGCCTCTGTTTATATGGGATGTTGGTAACATTTGGACAATCTTGTCAAATTTCTAAATTTCAACTACACAAACAATAACATGATATGTTAGAAGGTATTTCTGGTTATTCAAATGTTTTTAAACTTTTGCAGATGCTCTGAAAACCTTTGTTTTGTTTTCTCAAAATCTCTCATTTGACATCTACTAAATCAATCTCAATTTGTCCGTCATGCTTTTTTAAAATTTCTGGATACTATTGGAAAATATGTCTTTATTACTGAGGATTTTATTCTTTACTATCTTCTAGCCACACTGACCAGATACCCGTTTTTCCCCAAAAATAACATTGGGTCTTATATTAATTTTTGCCCCAAAAGACACATTAGTTCTTATTTTCTGGTTAGGTATTATTATTATTATTATTATTATTTATTGAATTTGTATACCACCCTACTCCCGAAGGACTCAGGGTGGTCCTTATTTTCGGGGAACTACAGTACTAAATGTATGTGTCTGACTGCCAATTTTTTAACTGAGGCTTATTTTGGGGGTAGGGCTTCTATTACAAGCATCCTGAAAAATCATACTAGGGCTTATTTTCTGGTTGGGTCTTATTTTCAGGGAAACACGGTAGTTGGCATGACTTCAGAAAATTAAAATATGTGATATCAGCAGGTCCATTATTCCAGTAAGCACAACCCAGGACTCAATCTCCACCTTTGCTTGCATATTATTCCCGATTTCCCCTGGCAAGTTACTTACCGCTAAAGATGAAGTACTGGCAAGGCGGCCCCCTAAACAGCTTTCACTAGTGGTGCAGACATTCTTGCCATCTACGCTGTTGTGGGCTATCAAAGCTCTTCGAAGGGCTCCCTTTGGGGTCTTGGAAAAAGAGAACGCTCGTGTAACCTGCAAAATGTTGGCATGGAAAAAGGGATAAGTAAAACAAAGAAGTTGTGCCAGATACTTAAATTGGTTCCAAATATTAGCCGAAGATTGTGCCGAGTTTTAAGTACACTATGATTCATAGAATGTTGTAATCTCATTTCAGGTTATACACACTTGCAACTTCAAATTTCCTTTTCTTTTGGTTTGCCAGGCGAAGCCATCATGCAGCTCTATCATAGACTTTCAAATGATTTACTGGACAGGTTAGTTTTTTATGATATTATTTGTTTTACCGATTTATATTTCATTTTTCCTTGTGCAAATTCGAGAGAGGTACATAGGACAGAGCTTCCTTCAGCTTCCATCCTTGAACAGCCAGCTTGAATTAGTTCAGCTATTAATAACTATTAATTTATTTTACTACTCTGAGTGATTAACAAGAGAACTCTAATAAATAGAGAAACACAGGGTGTAAATTTTCGTGGTTTCCAAATTGGTGAAATTATATCCAGGCAATGCTTCGTGAGACAAGGAGAATGTTCTAATGTTAGCAAGGCCAGCAGAAGATCAGTAGAGATAGTCCTCCACTCACAACCACAATCGAGCCCAAAATTTCCGTTGCTAAGCAAGGCAGTCGTTAAGTGAATTTTCCCCATTTTACGACCTTTCCACAGTTTTCCCCATTTTACGACCAACCACAGTTGTTAAGTGAATCTGGCTTCCCTGTTGACTTTGCTTCTCAGAAGATTGCAAAAGTTGATCACATGACCCCGGGACATTGCAACCGTCATAAATACCTGCCAATTGCCTAGCGTTCGATCACATGACCTTGGAGATGCAGCAACGGTCGTAAGTGTGAAAAACGGTCATAAGTCTCTTTTTTTCCCAGCGCTGTTGTAACTTTGCAACGGTCACGAAATGAACTGCCGAGGACTACCTGTGCTCATTGTCTCACACAGCATTACCCAGATCATTTCCCCACTAAAAGAGGAAACAATAAATAAAGGAATAAGAATTGCCTCTCTGCCTCCTCTATGCCTACAGACAGCACTGCAGGTGAAAAGCTCTAAAACATGGGTGTCAATCCCGATCGCATTGCAGGCCGCACCGTGTTTTTTTGCCTTTGTGGAGACGGGGTAGGCATGGCCTGAGCTGGTCGTATCTGGCCCACGGGCCGTCAGTTTCACAGGCCTGCTCTAAAAGAAACAATCCCCCCCCCCCCGAGCCATTCAGTTCAAAGCTGTTCCTTCCTTGTCAGGTCTTTGCAACTTTTCTCTTCTCTACCCTGCCCGTTCCAATTATTCTACAGGCCTGTTGTTCAACTTGCACCAATTTCTTGTCCTACTGTGTTTGGCACCATTTTCCTACATGAAGTAAATTAAGAGTGGCATGGCTTACTAGGCAAGATTCACAATCTCTTCAGAAATGCTGGATATGTACCAGCACCTCTTTATTAAAGACTTGTATTTTATCATAGTGGGATCAAAAGCCAGGCCTTGTGAGTCTTACCGAGGATGATGATGATGTTTTAACCGCTTTTTTAAAAAAAGGTCTAACAGGGAGTTTCAGCTTTACGTTAAGGCAGTGTTGGCAAACGGGAGTGGCCGCGCGCAGGGGAGCGCCAGAAACCAGAAGAGCAGCTCCCCAGCGTGCATGTGCATGGCAGGAAACTGAGCCTCTGGTTTCTGGAGCGCATGCACGCCGGTCATCTGGTCTTCCAGTTTCTCAGTGTTCCCCCGCGTGCATGCTCTCCCATTTCAGCGCCAAAAAGGTACGCCAACACTGCACTACGCCAAACATTTGCCTTTATAGGTGCACCGGAACATGGAAGAGCAACGGGCGATAGCTGGCATGCCCAGAGAGATGGCTCTGCGTGCCACTTCCGGCACGCGTGCCATAGGTTCGCCATCACAGCATTACGGGTATATTTATTTTATTATTTTATTTTATTTTATTTTATTTCTATACCGCCCTACTCCCGAAGGACTCAGGGCGGTGCGCAGCCAAACAATAAAATACATACATACAAAATTTAAAAGTGGAATTAAAATCAAATTAAATAGTTTTGGCCCAGAAAAATTAAAACCCCAATCAATTTAAAACCAATTTTAAAATTTGAATATATAAAATACTAAAAAATATTAAAAAATTAAAAATCTTTTATAAAAGAGGGAGAAAATTAGGCCAGGCCCGCCTGGTGAAATAAAAAGGTCTTTAAGGCGCGGCGGAAGGTGCGCAGATCCAGGATCCTCCATATCTCCGGGGATACCTCGTTCCAGATAGTAGGTGCCCCCACAGAGAAGGCTCTCCCCCTGGGGGCCGCCAGTCGGCATTGTTTGGCTGACGGCACCTGGAGGATTCCCTCTCTGTGGGAGCGTACCGGCCGGTGGGAGGCTATTGGTGGTAGTAGGCAGTCCCGCAAGTACCCAGGTCCTGAGCCATGGTATATGGTTTTTGAGGGAAAGGGTTCTCTTAAACAACCAAGATTCTGACATCAGACTGTGTCAGTTATATGATGGGGGCGTTTTGTACGAAAGCTAACATAAGGCAATGAAGTATTTAAAATGATATATATTTTTTTTAAAAAAAATATCGTTTTACTGGGAAATGAATTGTGTCCCCCATTTAGAATTCAAGGAGATGAGTCCTTTTCAAGCTAAGCCTCTTACCTTCTTGGAGGTTTTCTTTATGGCCCGTGATGCTCTACTCAATGTACTATCCATGTCTTTCGTGTTTACTTCAATAGAATCAGGATCAGTTGCATAAATAAGATTTTCCTGGCAGGAAAAAGTCCCAACTATTAGCTTCAAGGGTAAAAAGAAAAAAAGCCGTCTTGAATTTCAAATCCACATTCAAAAAACCCAGGGCTTCTTAACTCCCCAAATTTCACAAGCCTACCTTTCCATAGTAGAGAGATTATGCATTACATCTGGCACATTATTCTGGTATTGACCGCAGTACAGACACTTTCTTATTTGGCAAATGGGGGGGGGGGAGGAGGAATCGGGTTTTAAGCCTCTGCTGCCACCATGTGGGAATGGCGCACAAGTAATTTGAGAAAACAAAGGTTTTGTTTTGTTATTTTCTAGAAGAAAGGATGCGGGCCACACATAGTGAAGAAAGATTCCCTTATGATGCTAGAAAAGAAGAGATAAGTCATGAGTCACCAGAGCAGAAAGGACAGGTGTGACTTGCCAGGCTGAAGTAGAAAATGTATCTAGGCTCTATTTGTAATTCAGCTTGACACCAGGTTCGTCTTGAACCTGGAGATAGGTTCTCTGACACCTACATATTGTTTATCAGAACGTCTAAAAGAGAATTGTTGTTTTTTTGTTTCATATGTGCTCAGAAAACTTCAGAGGGCTCAATGGAGCATATATCTGTGACATTCACTTACCATTGCAGCCTAAGATGTACCATAGGTAACAGAGTATACTTTGTGGACAAAAGAAGCAAGCATTCTAAATAATGTTTCCTTCCTTCCTTCCTCCCTCTTCCTTCCTCCATACCTGTCCGCCTATGCACCTATGCATTTTTACATACTGTATTTTTCGGATTATAAGATGCACCTTTTCCCCCCAAAACAGAGGGTGAAAATCTGGGTGCGTCTTATACTCCGAATGTAGCCGCACCCAGCTTCTCAAACGGAGGTTTCAGAGGCTGAAAAAAGCATCAGAAACGAAGCTTCAGAAAAAAAGTCTCCAAACAGAGCTTCAGAGACTCTCTGAAGCTCTGTTTCGGAGGCTTTCAGAGGAAGAAAAAAAAGTTTTTCTGAAACAGAGTTTCAGAAGTTTCAGAGGCAGAAAAAAAAGCAAAAAAAAAAGCAAGGTACAGAGCTCACTTCCAAGGAACCTGTTGCTAAAATTCACCTCTGGGAACAGCTGATTGGGGGTATTCCGGGAGGCTTATCCACCTGCCAATCAGCTTTTTTCTTATTTTCCTCCCCAAAAACTAAGGTGCGTCTTATACTCCAGTGCATCTTATACTCTGAAAAATACGGTAATTTCTCTCTCACCTTTATTATTTTTTATAAACAATTCAAAGCAGGAAACATATCTAATACTCCTTATTTCTCCTATGTTCCCCACAACAACCTTGTGAATGACTTGGGCTGAGGGTGTGGTCACTCAGCTGGCTTTCATGGCTAAGGCAGGACTAAAACTCACAATCCCCCAGTTTCTAGCCTTAACCACTAGACCTAGCTGTTCCTCTATGTATTATATTATGCTTTAATGCCTGATTTGCTTTATTTCCAGAACAGATATTACTTGCTTTTGATTTGGAGAACCCGATCAATCAAAAACATAAGCTCTGCTAATTTTATTCAACATATTGTTTTTACCATGCCTTTGGACAAAATCAAAAACATGGCAGCTAAAAAAATAATGTCTAAACTACTAAAAATATCAGTTTAAATAAAAAAGAATTTAAATAAAAAGAATGTAGACAAACAGCTCTCTCTCAAAAAAAAAAAAAAAAATTGAAGCAGACAGCTTTCCTAAGAAGAATCTTGTCAGAGAGCCAACAATTATGGCACAAACGCTTCCTGAAAAGGAAACTTGGCTGTGCTAAGAGTTTACCTCACGCCACAAAGGCCGGCATATAAAACAGGCCCATCAGTGGGGATGTTTCTGTGCTATTCAATTTGCAGCATTCAAGTTTTATATTTCTAACACCTATGTCTGCCAGTACACTGCCTAAAAGGCATTACTGTACCATTTGGGAATAATGTCTCCATAATAAGCTGGTTCTTGGTTTATGGAGCGTTTTATAATCTGCAGGTGCTACCCCCTGACTGTTCAAAGCATGAATAGGATTTGCCAATGAATTCATTAGAATTCTGCCAACATTCTTAGATTATGGCGACAATAAGTTTAGTTGTCATGCACAGATCATACAGGGATTCTCAACATGATGACCGGAGACAACAATATGCCCGGCAATATATTCCTTGATGCCTACTGGGTCCTACTGCAAGTGATTTAAAATTTTCAATTTTTTTAAAAAATAGACAGTAAAATACTGGAAAGCAAAGCACCAGTTTCAAGTATAATTGGAATATGGATTCAAGGAAAGGCAGTGTTTTACATCTGATTCAAAATAGTTAATTTGGAACCTGCAGGAGTGTGAATGCAGCACTGCTTTGCGACTCATTAAAATAGCCACATTTATTTTTGGAACTGCAGAAAAAGTCCCTCTTCAGTAGCCGCATGAGCCCAGAAAAAGAGGTGGCTGCTTCAATGAGTCCCCAGACAGGTGCCACCTCGGTTCTTGCTCTGAAACACCTTTTCTGAATCAAATCCAAAACATTATAGAGCCCAAACTTTAAGACCAGGTCTACAAGGTAGAGTCTGCCTACCCTACACTGTCTAGCAGAAAGATGCTTCCAGTCAAAGGAGAACGGGTTGGGTATTCAGAGAACCAGATCCTCAGGACATTCCACCTCCCTCCTGGAGGTTAAATGGTTAAGACTGCTTTGTTTCACAAGGTATTTCAGTAGGAAAATCTTCCAAAGTTGGCAATATTTTTTTTTTAAGGAATAGTATCTTTTATTTGTTAACCTTTTTTTATTTACCGGAATTTAATTGCATAGAGTTGCAAGGAGTTGGTGTCAATACCCCTTGAGTAAAGGTAAAGGTTCCCCTCCCACATGCGTGCTAGTCGTTCCCGACTCTAGGGGGCGGTGCTCATCTCCATTTCAAAGCCGAAGAGCCAGATTGTCGAAAGATGTCTCCGTGGTCATCTGGCCGGCATGACTAAACGCTGAAAAGCGCACAGAACGCTATTACCTTCCCACCAAAGGTGGTCCCTATTTTTCTACTTGCATTTTTTACGTGCTTTCGAACTGATAGGTTGGCAGAAGCTGGGACAACAAAAAGGAGCTCACCCCGTTACGCAGCACTAGGGATTCTGAACTGCCAACCTTCCGATCGACAATCCCACCAATGCCGTGGACCTCCTTTTAGGAAATTAAGGGGCGGGAAGCTGCTCCCTTGTGCTTGACTTGGGAATTTTTTCCTTGTTCCAAAAAACAAGGAGATGATGCCAGAAAAGTAAGTACTAGGTCTATTTGCCAGAAAAGTACTGGAAAATTCTTGCATCTTCTCTAGCCTCCCCCAGGTTGTTCTGCACTCTATTGTCTCTTCAGAACAGACATTCTGTGAGCAGATGCACAAATGTTCTAGAAATCCCAAATGTGATTCCCAACCCTCAGGATAAGAGGTCACCTGTTTTGTTATGTACAATATGTGCCCCTCATCAACTCTCTCAAGTGCTTACAGCGTCTGCTTTGCATATGGTGTTTGCTACATGCCGACACAGCATCTTCAGCCAGTCTTCCTTGAGAGGTTCCTCGGTTGTTATTTGAAAAGTGAACAAAAGATTGCTTTGCTCCGTTGGCGGCCGTACAACCAATGCAAAGGCTTTGTGGCAGTCTGTAGAGAAAAGAAATGTCCTTTTTTAAAAAAAACAAAAAACCCCTAAACAATGAAAGGAGGAAAGGACTAGAAAATATTGCACAGAACATTAAGCCAAGGTAAGAACTAACATTTATAGTCCTGAAAATTAACAAGCAAGCAATATCAATATAAAATTGGCTCTTTGTATATTTATATCTGGCTGAATTTCTTTTCCCCGTATAAGCTCTCATTTTCATGGCTTACTGGAAGCTTCCAATTGCTATCCAGTGCAGCAGAATTGTGCCATCAGAGAATTTAATTTACTGGGCTTCAAAAGACCAAAAGAAATGCTATTAAAAGAATCCACTCCTGTGAGAATTCCCCCAACTCTGGGGCCTATAGCGGGTAGTTTCTCCAGCCACCGAAAACTAAACGACTAAAAGCTAATTACGCGGTAATAATGCCGCATGATGTTTTATGGAGCCACTCTAAACCTGCAGTGGCTGAGGCAAGGTACAGCATCTCAAGGGACGAAGCTGGATATAAAGCCCGTGTAAGTAGAATAAAGATGTAAAAGCTAAATATCTACACGCTCAGCCACAACAAAGAGTCACCCGCAGAGAATTCAAAAATAGCTGCATTTGACATGTCTTCAGAGACAGAGGTCAGACCCTTGAGAGCATCTGCTCTCTTCCCACTGTCAGATTGCAGTAATATACTGGTATTGCTGGCTGGGGAATTTAGAGGATTGAAATCCAGATGTTTTAAAAAGTTGCCAAGCTTGAGAAATACTGGATTATGGTGACATATGACATTTCAGAAAAGCCTGCTTTCCACAATCATGGCTTGAATTTTAAACTGTGTTAAAGCTACAGAGGTAGAAAAGTAACCACCAAAATAATGCTGCCTGCCATTTCATTATTCTTCAGGTAACTTTCTTTTGCTTCGTACTCATATAAAACCTATTATCCCTCACACTTTCCAGGAGACAAACTATATACATAGAGTTAGCTGGAGAGCTCCATTAGCAGCCAAGGAGCAGGAGTCTTCCATACTTTTTCGTTTGATCTACAGTTCCTGAAGCTCTGGTGGCATATTACAATTTCCCCCCCTCCTCAACAACCTTCTGTTGGGCTCATCTTTCTGACAACCAACTCAACCCACTCCAAACAAACCCATCAAACTCGACTTTGAAAACCTGGCTTTAATTAATGTTCCCAAGCACAGGAATATACTTCAATTCATTTTCATTCAGGACAGCACATTGCTGTGCCAAACCTGGGAAAAGGAAGAATGTAGAAAAAAAAAAGGGGGGGGGAATGCATGAAACTTGCAACTCATATCTTTATAGTTCCAGTTATTTTACAGGTATGCACTGAGGGCGAGCCATATGAAGCTAACTCATAGCAACTTTTTCTCCAATTATCGAAAAGTAATCTTCTCCAAGGTACAGAATGCTGCTGCAGTAAGGGGTGATATAAACAAGGGAAATTAGTGTCCCAGTGCTCTCTCTCCAAGCAAAGTCACTCTGATTTTAGCAAGACTTACAGCCATGTGAATGCTATAATCTGGGGCGGGGAGTGGGGAGAACTGCATCTGCCTACTAAAAGATTTCAGGAATGTGGGCTCAACTGCTGCTTAAGATTAAAGTGCCAGTCATATAAACCTTTGTTCTTAAAGGTTAATACACCCACATGAGATGCTTTATTTTTAGATAAACGTTGAACAAAGCATAGAAAAAGAAAAGCAAGAGCTGCGCACTTTAGAAGATCTGAGAAGGGTTTTCTACAAAACACAAGTTCGCAAGGTGACATTTGACTGTCTTCTCTCTCTCTGCTCCTTTGCATGGCTATTTACAGTTCCCTGAACTGCCAGGTAAACCTCATTGGAAGTGATCTCACTGTTCAGCCATGCCCAAACCCTCCAGCAGTTAAAGCAGAGGTCCCCAAACTTGGCAGCTTTAAGACTTGTGGACATAACTGGCTGGAGAATTCTGGGAGTTGAAGTCCACAAGTCTTAAAGCTGCCAAGTTTGGGGACCCCTGAGTTAAAGCAATCGTTCCATGTGTTGGTTCAAGTCTTCCCCAATCTGAACCCTTCTGTGAGGACGACTCTGGAGACACTAGGTTAGGGTTGAAAGCCTACCTTCCCCTCCCAATTCACCGGGAAAAAAAATCTAACCTTCTGTCTCTCGGATGTCTAGTACCTTCTTGATCTGAGACAGAGGCATGAGGATGATGTGCTTGAGGCAGGCTGGTGGCCTGGTGTGGCCGTGCGGACTCTTGAAGCCACCGATGACCTTGTGCCGTTTCCTCGCAATCTGTCACAAACCAAAGAAACCCTCCGTGAGAAAGCAGCTCCAACATTCGCAAAGACCTTTAAAATGATGAGTCTTGCAGCCAACAGTGGCTTTCAAAGAAAAAGCCTTGGCAATTGCAACATACGAATTTATAGTTTCTTCTCAAAATGCCAGACGCCCCCCCCCTCTTTTATGAGAATAATTTGGAGATTTTTATGTTCTCTTGAACGCCGCATGCTGCCTTCTTCTTCTTCTTCTCCTCTGCCTTGTACTCACAAAATGTCCCCAAGCTGCATATGGCCAGTAGCAGAACACTGAATCAGGGAATGCTAATTAAATATATCCCTTCCATTTTTAAATCCAGTCTACTGCAAGCAGACGTAAGTCTGGAGGGCGAGATAATTATTTGAGAGCAGAGTTAGGCAATCTATTGCCACCCAGGCTTTGGAGACTATAGTTCACCTAATCTATTTCCCACTGAGCATACGCCAATGGATGTGCAATCCATATTATCTTGCATCAGGATGCCCAGTGGCCTAGATCTGATGCTAATTCTCCGCAAATAGGCCAAATAACAAAACCTGCACTTTCACAGAAGATTCTTCAGGCTGCTTGCAATACTATTGTCAGCCATCTTGATAAAGAAATAACTATAATCAAATAATGTAGTTTTTACAGGCACAGGAACCTCAGCCTAAAAGCATGAACTTGACAACCAAATGATTTGCAGTACGCATATATATAACCCAACGTATGTACAGCACTAAAATACATACTTCTGGACAAAATGGTTGCAATCTTTATAATTCACAAAACTATTGAATATGTATGTAACATACAGCCACCCCCAAATCACCGAAGTGATAGTTTCATCTATCACCCATTGCTAGGGTGTATTGGTCAAAACCCATCTTAGCTACTATGACAAGTAGCTTCAAGAAGCATTCAAACAGGTTCAAGGACTGGAAAAAGGATCATCAGAGAATGGAAATAAAGACAATAAGGAATGAGTGTCATTTTTTTTTTCCTGTGGGCACTCTGGCACACATTAAAAATGAAATTCTGTTGAAATGTGTACATACGCATAACACACATATAGATATGCTATATACATATACATACACATACACATATACATACATACATACATACATACATACATATATATATATATACATATACATACCTATGCCCTAACATATTAATACATATAAATATGAATCTTGAATACATAGCAGAAACAGGAAGCTTGGAAGTTCAAAAGGCTGATTCTCTATGGAACAAAACTGGCTGAATCTGGATGTTCTGCTTCGGATATCACGAAGCTTAAAAGAAGCTTAAAAGATGGTAGAATTTGTGAAGTTGTTTTCAGAATCTCAAAGCGCAACACAAGAGTCTTAAATTCCAAAATGAATTTGAGTATCAGGTAAAAAAAAAAAAAGCTCTAGATTAAAAGCAGATTAATAACAGAGCCAATTTCTTAGGGTAATGATGAGCTCCCCTTGCTGAATCTGATAAGGCAAGAGCTTATACAATCATCTAAGGCAATATGCTTTAATATGGATTCACTAAGCAGTGGTAGGACTCAATATTAATAGTCTAGGTTTCTAGTCTAATTAAATGTAATTAAATGTTTTCCCATAAAAGTTATGATTTATTAGATAAGCTGCTTGTGATGGCTTTTGTACTATACTGGGATATAAAAAGAGCTTCATATCTTTCTATCTTAGGTTTGTATCTTCCAGTTAAGGAGAAAACCCAGAATCATGACTTCAATCTCATTGAATGTTGTCTGAACCTATTAAACTCTATACATCTTGTGCTTGCTATTATATTCACAGTGATGACATCCCCATTACAGGTCACTTCTTAGAAACGGCTGGAAACACTAAGAACTACAAATGCTTTACAAGATTACAAAACAGCATTGACAGAATTAAGATTTCTAATTCCTAATTTGTCTCTTCCCTGAGGCATCTTCCTCTCCTATGAAATTTGCTACATATATCACTTCACCTCATTTTATATTCATCCACCACAGAGAAGCTATTGACATCCATTACATGGCCTGCCCCAAGAGAGCTGCTGTACTTCTTTATAATTTGTCTTTAGAAGACTTGAAAAGTCCATATTCCTCTCCCAGTTAGTCATATCTCACAGCAGCCATTTTGTCAAGCTACAAGGAACTACTAGGATATTCTGTCCCAATGCTGGGACAGACAGAATGCTTTCTGCCTTCTCTTTTCTCCCAAACAACTTCTTTCAACTCTACAATGTACAACTAAATCTACTCTATACCTCCCAAATCGACAAACAGATATTTGAATTTGCTTTTATCTTATTTCTTCTCCAATGTGTAATTTATATTATAAACTCGAGAGCAAGGCCTGCGCCATATGGAAGCTTCTCTAACAGCTCTGGATCTAACAGCTTTGAAAACAAGTAAGCGTGTTTTAACTAAAGAACTCATACTTCTGCATATTTGTGGTACATGTTGGCAATCTTAATAAAGGTATGTACTGACTGGGTTTTCTAATTTGCTGTTCATCAATGTTATTGTTTTTGCTTTTATGATTTTACTTGAGCTAGGTTTTATGCTAGCCTCATGGCAGCCTTTAGTGGCATAGAAAAGCAAGACAGATATTTAGAACAAAACAAGAAAAGGTAGGGGTTCCCCCCCCCCATTAAGTGAGCATTGAGGTTCTCCGGTAACTGAATTTTGCAACCAGTTAACTCCACTATACCCACCCCATACACAGTATTATGGTCCTGGCAATTAAAATTCAGTGGGCCATCTGCTGAAGTATTTAACATCACAGAGGAAAGACTGGGTTCAGATTCACTCTTGACTATTTAGGGAAGATTTGCATGGAAGGCGATACATCCTTAATGATGCAACTTGGACAGACCATAATGAACATGTGTTTTATGACCTCCCCCTGTGCTAGACTCAAGCCTCTGAAACTTGATTAGTTTGTATTCCCCAAGCTCAGTGTTTTTCCAACAGTAATTTCTGGTTATAACTGCTTGTGTGGACATTTTTGGAGCCCAAGAAGCAGCAAAGCAGAATTACCTGACATAGACCTGTTACTGATTCATATTAAACACAAATAAGTCCCATGAGAATTTACAGGCTGCTGAGGCCCTGTCCTGAGAGCCTGAAACAGTGCCAGAACTGTAAATACCACCAAGACACTAATGAATTATACTAGTGTAAATCACGACCCATCAATCCACCAGGAAGAGAAAACCAATCTAGCATGTTCTGTGGCTTGTTGGGCATCAAGTGGATGTTAGATGTGACCTATTGGGTTGGATATTTGTTGAAAAAATCAGGTTGCTAAGGCATTTGTTCAAGAATCAATACAATAGATGATATTGTATATATATATATATATAAAATATATTTATATATATATATATATATATACCTTTACAGGGAGGATATCTGAGAAGTGGGTGTGGCTCACTGATGACGCCTTAAAAGGCAGAAATAGCTATCTGAGTCTCCCAGAGAGCAACACAGAGTTGCAGTTTGTCAGCAGAAAAAAGGCCCAGAAACTTGTGAATGAGATTTCACAGAACCAGGGCTGTAGAACAACTTATTTTACGTAGGTAAAACCTGGCTAGAAAGAATATGCACATAAAAGCCTACGAAAAAGAAAAAGACACATTGTACCTTTACAGGGAGGATATCTGAGAAGTGGGTGTGGCTCACTGATGACGCCTTAAAAGGCAGAAATAGCTATCTGAGTCTCCCAGAGAGCAACACAGAGTTGCAGTTTGTCAGCAGAAAAAAGGCCCAGAAACTTGTGAATGAGATTTTACAGAACCAGGGCTGTAGAACAACTTAGTTTACGTAGGTAAAACCTGGCTAGAAAGAATATATAAAAAATTGCAGATCATGCAGAGAAAATATCTTCTTGTATGCACAGAGAGATGGATACATTCATTGCTATCAATCCAACATTGTGGTATTCAGTCCCACAACCAAGAGCCTATCAGAACACCACAACATTTTTAGAGTCCCCTGAAATGACGAAGGAAAACCCACTCTCTCAGATGAATCAATTGTGAAAAGCATCAGTCTATCAAAGCTACATGTTCAGAGGAAAACAAGCATCTTCCAGAACAGCTGATGCACAGAAAGCATTTCATAGAATAGGGACAGCTGTGGCTGAATGCAGTTAAAGCTGACAAGAGTTACACAAACTGGGCACAATCTGCACATCTGGTACAATTTCTAAAAGACGAACCCAGTACATTGTTTAATGTTAGATGCAGAATTCAACTTTCCGTGAATCTGTTTGTATCTGAGGGGGTAAAGGAGAGTTGTTTTACCCTTTATGAATAAACTGCCACTTAAAAGTCGCAGAAAGCAAACAAAAGAGGCTAGATCAGATTAAATTCTGTCATTATTATAATCTCTAGTTTTAACAAAAGAAAACTTTTTGTCGTAGCTCAGCAATTCATGGGTTGAGTACACCCATTGTAGTTTGTTTGGTTTCGTCTCACCATAATGTGGAACAACACTCCTCCCCCCTCAATTATAGTTCCTTCTGTATGTAAACAAGCCAGAGTTTAGCTCTGTGTGATCCATGTAATAGCAATTTGATTTGGACTTCCCATGTGATATGAATCTAGCTTCCGATTTGTCAGTGCTTAGCGCTGGTGTCGAGACCTTGTCCAATGGGAGCTTATGCAAACCTGTTAAGTAAATCGTAACTTCAACATGCTACAGAACAGGCCAGTGAAAACGTTAAGTATTTCATTTGGCCAGGAGGGATTACGGAAAGGCCCTCTTAATTGCTCTGATGACAATGCCTCCCTTTTCCTTCTGACCACAGTTTCCTTGCTTGTAGCAAGTCTCAGTAGCAGCAAGTTCTCCTGGCTTTCCCAGCAATGCCCAGAATTGAGTTACAAAGCATTAAGACGGCAGAGAAAAAATACTCTCTGTGACAATTCTTCCAGCAGTCCTTACTGGCTGAGTGATTGCTACACACAGCACAATGCATTCCACCAAGGACAAAAAAAAAAAAAAAAAAAAAAAAAAGAGAAAGAAACGGCATTCAAGTTGCCCTTCACAGATTTCCAGGTGTTTGGATGTTATTTATTCCTCCGAGTTGCAAGTCATTCCAGGATGTCACAGCCAAATGAGTCACTGCAGACTTACCTCCAGGCAGTCATTAAAAAGGAACAGGGTGACCTGTTCTCCTCTGTCACAGAGGTCATCCCCAAGTGCAACCGTTTCCAGGCGCTGAATTAGACAGCGGTGAGACGACAAGAGGTTAGCCTATTGGGCATAGGAGAAGCTCATTAAAAAAGAAAAGTTGGGAGGTTGCTGCATCACCAAGAAATAATGATAAAGAGTAGAGAATCTTTCTTTTATCACAGGACACACAAATTGTTATTGCAGCACAGCGCACCTAATAAGGGTCCTTATACATGGAATAAAGCCTCATTCTTAGGTAAGGAGTATATTGGATTTCTCAGGATTTGGACCCCAGCAGTGGGGCTGGAAAATGCTGATGGGGGCTCCCCTTCTTTCTCCCTAAAGTGAGAGAACAGGAAGAGTCGGAATGGGGAGATTTAATAGAGCTGGTGGGTCTGACATGTCCAGAGATTACAGATAATGATGGAAAAAGCAGACTTTGATGGTTACCTGAGTCAAACCGGCAAACAATGAGCAGGATAAGATTCCTGCAGGCTCACTGAACCATTTTGCTGATTGACCGATAAAGGTAACCATGTTTGTTCTAGGCTAAATGTTCTACAACAGAAACTAACATGGTGAGCAAGGGATCTTATATTACCTAGGATCTTTTTTGACCTTACTGAGCCTGAGGGTCTCTACAGTTTGAGTTTGGATATAAGCCCTTCTTGGCTCCTTTGGGCAGCCAGGTGGAACGAGTTGTTGGCAATCAGAGAAATGTTAATACTTATTTGAAGGAGGAGTAATGCCACTTCCTCCCTTAGAGGAAATTGAAGCAGCTCTCCTGGATCCAGCAGTTTTGAGGGAAAGTTCTTGAGAAAGTGGTGGCCACTCAGCCCAAGAGAATCCTAGAGAAAATCGGGGTTCATACCCAGATATGGGATTGGGTTGGCATGGCCCACTATGTTGACAAGCCTTATTGAAAAGGCAGCACCTTTGCTTTGATACCATTAACTACCATATCTTCTCACCTGTGAAAGTTGGAAACACTATTCTGCAGTGATTCTGCCCCTACCTGAGGAGGCAATTTTGGCATGTCACTATGGAGTAACAGATGTCAATGCCTTGGTTACCCAGGGGTTTGGTGCTCTCCCCTATGCTAATCTATATAAAGCCACTGAGGTACATCAGTAGAAGATGAATTGACTTCAGAATGCTGATGAAACTCAGCTGTATATTATTACCCGAGTCATGCTGAAGATTTATCTATTGTATCCTGCTCTAATCAATCTGATTCCACAGAAAGCTTGAATCAGCGTCTGATGGCTGTTACGGTATATTGTCTGAATGGAAAAATAAGCTTAGATTTAATACCTCCAAGATTTAGCTACTGTCCCTTAGTCAGCCTCTAAAAATATTGCTCCCGGTTGGGCTTTCTTTGCAGGATTCCAGAGTATGACTTGGGTCTCCTCCTGACCCATGCACACACTACTTAACAGACCTGAAAGCCATGGGGCGTCTTTCTCCAGCTTTGGAAGTTGCCTACTTATAAGCCTACCTGGACCTAGATATTCTGGTGTTAAGTTATTCACGACTTGATCACCGTCAGTTAAATTATTATACTCTGCCGTACTTGAGGAAGGCTTTGAAGATGGACCAAAATCTACATTTTGACTCAAATGTGACAATAAGATTACTACCGTGTTTCCCCCAAAATAAGCCCTCCTGAATATAAACCCTCCCCTGAAAATAAGCCCTCCCCGAAAATATTTAAACACATGTGCAGCCAGTCCCCGTCATTTCCTCTGGTTAGGGTTAGGGAGACAGAGCTGGAAATCAGGTAAGACGGCAAGAGGAGCCCCGTCTTTCTCCAAGTGCCCCAAAATAATAAGACTTCCCTGAAAATAAGGCTAAGCGCTTATTTCAGGGTTCAAAAAAAATATAAGACAGGGTCTTATTTTCAAGGAAACACAGTAGTGACTTGGGTCTGTTCCTGCAGGATAAAAACTGTCCTAAAGTTGCTGCTTTGGCTACTGATAGACCTTTGACTCAATTCAAAAGGCTAGTAATGACCTACAAAAATTTCAGATAGCAAAGGACTGAGTTTCCTCAAACTCAGCTTTGTCGAGCCCGAATTTGACATACGTGTAACCATTTTATTTAGCTCTCTATTATACTCATTTATTCCTTTTCTTTCTCTTTACTATGTAAGGGGGGTTTTCGGGCTCGCCACATTCTTAAGGTAGGGGGAAGAAAGGAGCGAATAGATAGTGAGCGAATAGATTGGCTAGGTGACTTTCTTTCCTGTGGGAATAGAGGCTGCTCCTCGTGAGAATGGAAGGTGAAGTTTGAAGACACCAGGCAATGTGGATTGAGTGTTTATTGGAGAACATGACTTTTGAGGGATGTTTCTAACTTACAATATTATGTGGTGTAATTCCGGTTTGTGTCAGATCCGGAATTACAACAGACTTTGCCAATTTGATGCCTACCTAAATAAAAGGAATTTGTTTTGGAAGATGGACTTTGCCTATTTCTTTTTGAATGGATGTCATCACTTGGAAACCTGACAACTTTCTTGAATCCAGTGAAGACCTCTCAGAAAAGCCTGTTACCAGACTTTGGAGGAAATGGATTACAGACCTAGGCTAGTTTCCACAATTTAAAGCACTCTACTTCAAGGTTTTGAAAGGCTCCCAACTCTCCATTTAGATTATTGAGAACTATAGGTAGTCCTCTAGTTACAACAGCAGTCGGGACCAAGATTGCCAACACTAAGCAATGAATGCAGTCATAAAACATGACATCACATGACTGCATTGCTTAGCCATGACAATCCAGGCTGTCCCAGTTGCTTTCATAATCCAAGAAATGCAGGTCATTAAGCGGGAAGTGGCAGGAGTCCCAAGTGAGGAGCACAGTGGTGTCTCTGGACCATGCTGAACCTCCTCCCATCAATGCCATTTGGAGATAAGTTCAGTTGTTTTGGGAAGTGTATCCTCCCAAGCAGTAGCATTTGAGGAATCCTGGCCATAGTCTGCTCTGGGGCAAGAAAAGAGGAATGTTTGCTAGCGTTTCCACATACAGTTTTGCATATCCATAGCACTGGGAAGTGGCAACGCGGAAGATCCTTGTTATTTTGAGGAGTTTAATGACATAATTTTGATTTCCTCTTCATGTTAAGAAAAGTCTAGAAGTTAAGCTAAGCTAACCTGCTGATTTTTCCCCCTCTTGCTTGCTGAATAAAATAGAAGGGGAGGGGGGGGAATCTTCACATAGCAGCAAACCTGCAAAAACCTCAAGCTTTCAATTCCCATCCCAGAGTCAGGTGCCACCCAATCAAAGTCAGGCCTTGCAGACTCTTGACCGTAGCAGGGCCATGAAGTCACAGTGCCAGGTTTTGATAAACACCTTGAGGTTATGGTTGATTGTGTGGGAAGTTTTTATACAGAACCTAGCATTGGGTACTGTGGAACCTAAGGCACCTCTACTGTCATTATTAAGATGTTCCCCGTAGCATGTAAGCGATTTGGGTATTATCTTGCTTGGATTGTTATGTTTTTAAATCTGTTTCCTTAAAACTTAAAATCCCTTTATTTACTGTTGTGCTTCTTGTCTCTGAATCCAAAAGAACCAATTGCCTGGACACCTGATCCCTCCTGACGCTTGGCAAAACACACTGAGAATAGGAAGGCACGTCCCACAACCACCATAGCAACCATTGTGCGTGTTCACTACTTGTTCTCAATATTCCAAATTTGGAATCATGGCACCTCTTTTACTCTCCATTTTGCTCAAATTCACCATTGCATTTTTAAAAATATAATGGAGTACTAAACCATTACTTACCGGGCAACCATCTACTTCATAAACAACATCAAAAATCTGTCTTTGACCTTCAGTCTTCCTTTTGTCTTCATTAATGTGTCTAGAAGAGGGAAAAAAAGTTTGAGAAAACGCTGGTGAAAAATGTGCGACAATATAATATGCAAAAACCAGCAGGCCCCACACTTGAGAAACTCTTTAAACTGATGATGGAACAAGATTAAGTTCCCTGGCTGCTCTCTGCTTTCTATTTTAAAATATGAGATTCAATGAACCTTCCATGGAACAGATCATTCAGGATTAATTTAAGTGATTTCATTCACTGATTATTCTTTAGGTTTCACTCCTTCAAGTTATACAGAAAACATACCCAAGTATCTTAAGAAATGATATTCTCCTCATGACTAACGGGAAGACTTTTATGAAATAAGGTATCCCTCGTTACACTAAATGATAGAGATTAGAAATTGTGAGTTTCCAGGAAAACTTAAGAAGGTCCTTATCTTCAAACTGACTCTAAGGTTTACTTGAACTGAAGTGCAGTTAGCAGCTACTCACAAATATCAAAATGATAGCCACCTACAGCTTCTAAAATATAAGGAAGGAGTTATCAGTGCGCAGATCTTGCTGATGCATTCCATATACTGTATTTTTCGGAGTATAAGACGCACTGGAGTATAAGACGCACCTTAGTTTTTGGGGAGGAAAATAAAAAAAAAAAGCTGCTTGATGGGTGGATCGGCCTCCCAAATACCCCCAATCAGCTGTTCCCAGTGATAAATTTTAGCAACAGGTTCTTTGGTTGTGAGCTCTGTGCCTTGCTTTTTTTTTCTGCCTCTGAAACTTCTGAAACTCTGTTTCAGAAAAAACTTTTTTTTCTGCCTCTGAAAGCCTCCGAAACAGAGCTTCAGAAAAAAAGCTTGGAGATTTTTTTCCTGAAGCTTCTTTCAGAGGCTTTTATTCTGAAGGACTATCTGTACTCTGTTCAATCTCCTTTCTTTGGTATTGGTATGTAGATTAAACTCTTCCGATCTGTTGGTTATTGTGTCATTCTCCAGATTTTTTAATATAGTTTGGTTAGATCCTTTACTGATTCTTCTTTTGTTGCTTGCCACATTATTTTAGATAAAAGCCTTTCTGAGGCTTTTTTTCTTCTTTCAGAGGCTTCTTTCAGCCTCTGAAATCTCCGTTCGGGAGGCTGGGCGGGACTACATTAGGAGTATAAGACGCACCCAGATTTTCTCCCTCTTTTTTGGGGGAAAAAGGTGCATCTTATACTCCGAAAAATACTGTAGCTATTAGGCAATGAACTCAATGCATATTCCTTCCAAGATAATTTATAAGGGTATGCGTAAAATAAAAAAACAAACAATTTTAGGTTTGAAGCCATCAAGTATTCAAAGTCCTATAAATCCATTTCAGGTTGGCTTTAGTTAAGCAAAAACAAAATCCAGAAAAAAAATACGTTCTTCTGTCTTTCAGTCAAAACCTGATAGGACCTTGGGGTGATTTTTCAAGGTGAATACGAAAAGCCATGTCCCTCAAATCCCCATTTGGCCTCTCTGCTGATCCACCCGTTTCCAATCTTCTAATACAGGGGTCCCCAACCCCTGGACCGCAGCCCATTCGGAACCAGGATGTGAAAGCTGTGGACGAGCACATGTGCCTGTGCAGCTCCATTTGTGTAACCAGCTCAATTTTGTGCGAATGGCAGGCATGCATGCCTACCGCTTGTGCAAATGGAGCTTCGTACGCGAGGCTGCTGCTCACAGAACCATCCCCTCTCCACCCCCGCTGGTCCAGAAAGCCAGAAAGGTTAGGGAAAGGCGTACTAAGAGCTCTCCCACCCACCCTCTCTCTTTTCCACTCAGTCACCGTGCATCCGTTCCTTCCTGCAATGGTCCAGGTATAGCATATCCCACCAGCTTGCTCATCTTCTCTCTCCTCCTTCCCATGGCTGCCTAATAACTGCATACATCATCACCAAGGAAACTTCCCAGTCTCAGCTTTTTTTCCCTATGACCGCCCCCCACTCCCTGGCTTGATATTTCTGCCTTCTGTTCTCCGGTTCGTATTCAAAGCAAACTAATATTTTGCCGCAGGAACCCAACCCCTCAAAGTCCTGTTCTGCACACAGAATGGTTTGGACCCAGAGTGTTTTGAACATCGCTAATCATGTGTTATATTAATTTTGAGACTAGCATCAGCTAGAGTCATCTGTCTTACGTCATCACTTCCTTTAACGACTCAATAGCGCTCTCTAGGGTGGTCTTGTCAGGATTGTCTTCTGCGGTATGTTTCTTGAGATCTGCAACAAGGAAAGATTGAAACTGAGCAACTGTGCATAATAACATTCCACAGGATACCCTAAAAAGTCGACATTTCTGAGAGTCTGTCGCCTACAGAAATCTCTGTACTTGAATTCAAGAGTTTAGCAATTGAAATTAGCTTGCTGATGAGGCAGAAATCTTACAACCGTAGCTGTTCTGCTATTGACTTTGAAGGCACACACTTATTTTTATTATTTTCCTAAGTGGAAGAAAATTGAAATATTTACCAAATGCAATTTGATCTCACTCCCGGGGCGGTGGGGGACGACACCTTGAGCATGGGACTACAGCAAAAACTATATCGAACCTTCTACTTTTACCTCAAAACTCGTGAAGTGAACTTTAGTAAGGTGTTCCCTCTAATCTATTGCCTAGGATTATTTTAAGAAAAAATAGGAATTGGGGAGTTATCAGTCACATGGAATATGTAAAGAAATAGAAGGAAGACCACAACACAATACAACACTGAGGATGAGTGTACAATTGCGGGGTTAAAAGACAAAGCAGGACATTCACAACATGATGTTTCATTGAGCAATACAGTAGTGGCCAAAATTGTGGAAACCTTTTGGAAAAGTGTATTTTCTAAAACAAGCTAATAACACCACTTTTTTGGGAGTAGTACCATAAAATTATATATCAATGGAAAGATAATTTAATCAAGAATGTAATGCAATAACTTTTAGAAGGATTTGTTATTAGAATAGCAGTTACAGTATGAAGAAGAAAAGTAAAACACATAGAAAAAATGAGATATACAAAAATTATCACCATGTCAGTTAATACTTAATTGGGTAACCTTTAGCATGAATTACAACCTTACAACGTCTTCCCATGGAGTGAACCAAGTCTTTTAGTTCTGCACCTGTTATAATGTGAAACCAAGATTGAAGGATTGCTTCTATTAACTGAGTTTTATTGCTGGGTCGCTTCTGACTAACAAGTTTCTTTAGTGGCTCCATAGATTTTCAATTGGGTTAGTCTTGGCTATTCCCAGGCCATTCCAACAGTGGAATATGATTATCTTGAAATTCCCCCAAAAAAGTGGTGTTATTAGCCATCAAACCTCAAAAATACACTTTTCCCAAAAGGTTTCCATAATTTTGGCCACTACTGTAGGCCTGCACTTTCTAGAATAAAAAAAATCCTGTTTTTTAGATGTACTTCCGAAAGTTTAAACAAACTGATTTTTACTATCATTTCTCTCTTGCAGTTAAATATTCTCCCATGTGTTTTTAACGTCAGTTTTAATGAGCAATTATGGGTGTTCACATTAAGCACATTTTTTTTATAACTAAGACAGACTGTATTACTTTAAAATATATAATCTGATGCAAGTTAGGCCTAAATGATTATACCTGATTTAAGATAGTAATGGATTGAAGTGGCTTCTGGGTTTCTTTCTCTTTATATAACTTTTAATGTTTTATCAACGTATAAAATATAAAGAAAAATAAAAGCAAGAAATTAAGAGAAAGAAAAAGAGAGGGGGAAAGAAAACAAGAGGTGCAAGGGAAGAAAGAAAAAGGACTTCCAACTCTTTATAGCGCAGTACAAGCTAACAACATTACAACTTCAACTTTTCACTTTTACACATTAATATATAACTAGCCATTTCTATAACAATCAATCTATCTAATCGACAAAGGCAATGTTTCATTTTTTTTTCACCACAAGCACAAAATCCAGAAGTGATATCCAAATAAAAAACATAAATATATATTCCCCTCTTTGAATAGAAGAATCTATTTAACCATCAGTGCTTTATCTTCCTTGCTGTTGAAATATGTCTTTCTTGATGACAAAAAACTTCAGAGCCTGCATACTAAAAGGGCATCTCAAGTAGCTATTAAGTTACGTTCTGCTATCTATCTTAATTATGGTTCATAGACCTTACAATTAAATTAATACTGAAAATAAACATTGATTAAAACAGATTATTTACAAACGCAATAAACGTCATATGCCTGGCATCTATAAAAGATATTTTCTAATTCATTTCTTAAGGGCGTTCACAGACCCAATTGGACTTACCTAGTGAAAATTACACCCCAAGCATGCATGCATGCACACACGCACACACGCATGCATTCATTCGATTTATATGGCCGCCCACCTCAATGACTCTGGGTGGCTTACAACCAATAAAAAACCCAATATCAAAGGACAACAAGTCACTTGATGGGCTCTATACCACTTTGGGTTCCTCAGGCAGGTTGGCAAAACCAGGTCTTCAGGGCCTTGCAAAATGCGGGGATGATGTTCTTAAGGGGACGAGCCACCACGGAGAAGGCCCTTCTTCTGGGTCCTGCAAGATGTACCTTCTTAGGAGACGGGACTCACAACATTCCCTGCCTTCCCACTCTAGTGGGTTGGGTGGATGTAACCGGGAAGCGACGGTCCTTCAGATAACCAGATTTGATTTGATTCTACAAATGCTAACTAATTACTTCAACCCCTAGACAAACCAGCTTCTGAACATACCATTTAGAAGAAGGGCGACACTGGGCAGTCTCTGTACTGGCCGGATAAGGAGTTCTGCCAAACTCTGGCGACCACATTCTGGTTTAGCTTGATTTATCTATTGCAAGAGAAGTTATAGCATTATTTCTAGAAAGTAACCAATTTTTATTTTTTTTAAAAAAACAAAACAAAACTCTGCAATGTTGGTGGTTCCCACGCTTATATGCCACTGAGTTTTTGAAAAATGTATGTTTGACATATTACATAGGTTGTTAATTGCTTATCTGGGAACCTTGCTGGAAGGTATTTACTAAATTATTATGTAAAAATGATTAAATGGGTCGTTTGAAAGCCACGTCTTTCTTCACTGCTAATTTTCTCATTCCCCATTAATTATTTGAGTAGTAGGGGCTCTCTCTTTTATTACACTGTATTCATAAGAGAAAAACAGAATGCCTAAATAGATCTCATCTCTCTGATGTTGGCAAGAACAAATAAAGCAAGCAGAAAACTTTTTTTAAAAAAAAACTGAGCCAGAGGTCCAGACCAATAGTAAGTGTTGTGGCCCACCAGCGGCCAACAGAGCTAGCAGCAGATTTGGACAGTGAGGAGGTTGGGGAGGAACGTGGGCCAATTCTGGAGTCTGGGGAAGGCTCGGATGAGGGCTCTGAGTCGGAGGCAGAGAGGGGGCCAAGGCCATCTGGTAGTTATGTGCTACCTCCGGAATCTGACATTAGCGAGGCAGAACAGCGGGAGCCTGTTCACAGTGTGCACATGCGCAGAGCTGCCAGGAGACAGGAACAATTAAGAAAACAGGGTCGACTTGGGAGTAAGGCTTGGAGATGATTGGCCCCTCCCTTTTATATGACATAAAAGAAAAGCGAATGGGACGTGAGCTTTTGCAGGAAGCAATTCGTTCATCTGGTCCGTAAAAGCTGTGGAAAAGTTCAGTTTGACTCTGTGCTAAGTTTGGACTTGCCCTGCGTGTGGCAATTAGTTCTCTGGCAGCATTCCAAGGGAGATAAGGTGGGTGTTTGTAAATAAGACTGTTTGAGAAGCCTTTCGGACTAGGGAATGACAATAATTCACAGCCGTATGAATAAAAGAGGTTTGCCATGTGCTATTTACTTTCTAAGGAAGCCTAGGTCAGAACAGTTAAGGGACCATTTTGAGTCTACACCAGTTGCATGAAAACAAGATGGGCAAAATAGTGGTTATAATGTAGCATGGATCCAATTATTACTGTATAACATAATTGTTCTGGATATAAAAGGTTGAGAAATTGAGCTTTCTTTCCAGCTTAATAACCTCAGAGTTCATGTTTTTACCACCATCACCCTGCACTGATTTCTAATGTACACTTAGGAAAAGATTCGCTTTGCGGGACTTATTCTTCTGGGCCTATTAAGTTGAGACATGTGAAAATCACAGGAAAAAGTAAAAGTAAAAACTAAAAGTAAGACTCGGACTTAGTGGATATTGATGACCAAGATTGCCTGATGATAACTTGTGTTTACAAGTAGCAATTACATCAATACCAATGAAACTGTAAACTCCTGACAAAGGAAAAAAATATTGTTCTCCTTGGTCTTTCTTTAAGTGCAAACAAGAAACGTTTGCCAGTCTAGTTTCTTCTTCTTCTTCTTCTTCTTCTTCTTCTTCTTCTTCTTCTTCTTTTCTTCTTCTCTTCCTTCTTCTTCTTCTTCTTCTTCTTCTTCTTCTTCTTCTTCTTCTTCTGCTTCCTCCTCCTCCTCCTCCTCCTCTTTCTCCTCCTCCTTCTTCTTCTTCTGCCATATCCGTCATCGGACACTGGCGATCATGTTCGCAATCCTATTTTTGTCAACAGCCGTATGAAAAAGTGCTGCTGAGTTTTGTCCAAACCAGTCCCTAAGGTTTTGAAGCCATGATGTTCTTCTTCTGCCTGGACCTTGTTTGCCTTCAATCTTTCCTTGGAGGATTAAGTGAAAGATGCCGTATTTTTCTGGGTGTCGCATCACATGTCCAAAATAATCTAACTTTCGCTTTTTAATGGCTTTGATTATTTCCCTTTGCTTTCCCAGGCGGCTTATCACCTCCTCATTTGTGATTTTGTTAACCCAGCTTATACGTAACAGTCTAGCTTACATCCCTTTAAAACACATTAGGATCAAGTGCTATTTATATTTTTTACCCAAAAGTAAAGTATATAGTGCTATGCCGTCAACCTATTCTGGATTTCAAAGCTGCACCGTATCCCCCCCTATTACAGCCACCAAGACATTATTCTAGCATATTTGTGCTTCCACGGTGCTCAAGCCTTAATTGCTTATTTCAGTTTCAAAATTGCACCTTTCAGGAGACGGATCACTCCATTAGAACCAGCAGATGAATACTTGCCTTTAAGAAAGCATGAAACCTGGGCTTCTGCTTTTCACACTTGGTAATGGTTTCCTTGCTCATTTCAAAGAAGTTCACAAAAGGAGGATATGTTTTCACCAAGTCTTTAGACTGAAAGAATCCCAAATTTTTATTTACAACATGCATGTGGTTGAAAAATTAAAATAACATCAGTGCTTCGTAGCAAGCAGTTAGAAGTTACTGTTTGCTGAAGGAGCTCTATGCTGTTGGTGAAGCTGACCTCTGCTGGTGTTAGTTAGTTAAACCTGCTACTGTAACAAATACCTACACAGACAGTGTATTTGCAAAGAAAATGCATACATGCTTATACTTGCCCAAATACTAATAAAAGCACAGGACTGTATTTGCACATGGCCTCTGCCAATAATACCTCTAAACCAGTGGCTTCAAATTTTTTTTACTACCGGTTCTGTGGACGTGGCTTGGTGGGTGTGGCAGGGGAAGGATACTGTAAAATCTCCATTCCCACCCCACTCCAGGGGAAGGTTACTGCAAAATCCCCATTTCTTCCTGATCAGCTGGGACTCGGGAGGTAGAGAATAGATGGGGGCAGGGCCAGTCAGGATTTTTACTACCGGTTCTCCGAACTACTCAAAATTTCCACTACTGGTTCTCCAGAACTGGTCAGAACCTGCTGAAACCCACCTCTGCTCTAAACTATTCTGTAGCCTAACCTTACAGTATGTAACATCCCAGATCCTTGCAGTTCACTAACTTTCATTCTCTTTTATTTAAAACTTTTATCTCAAAAGAAATATCAGCAACTGCCAAATTATTATTTCTTGCTTACAATCAAGACCTTGCCTAAGAATCATTAGCATACAGTTGCAATCGTGCTTCTGTGGGGAATGGTTTAACTCTACTGAACACAAGTTCATGATTCAGTAAACTTAGAAGGATAAATAGGATGGGTCTACAACAATTTGCCACGGCCATCTCGCCGCAGGACAACTCGCTCCGGGACAAGTTACATTAATATCAAAGAAATGGTGGAATAGAATCATTAAAGAAAGGATGCCAAAGGGGGGACAGAATGAAATATGAATGGCAAAAATTAAAATAATTTTTATTTATTTTAAATAAATGAAATTGTTATATCATCCTGCAGTGAGTTGTCCCATGGCGAGTTGTCCCACAGAGAGTTGGCCATGGTGAGTTGGCCGCAGCAAGTTGTCCTATTCCCTTATAGGACTGTCCCCTGTTCAAACGCTGCCTAATAATACTAATACAAAGAGCAGAGCTACACTGCATTCTCCCAATTCAAGACATAAGGCTCCTTCACATGACCAAGGGTAGAAATGAAGGGTCCACTTTAGATATAAAATAACAGCATTCATTCATAGCTAGCGCAAAAACCAAAACTTACATATTTAAGTATAACATCCCCAATGCTTTGATTTTCAGTCCAGTTTATCATAAGGTCTTCAAGGTCTTCCTAAAATAACAAAGATGGCATGCCATTCATTTGCAATTATTCACAGGTCTAAAAAAGCAAGCTGCATTATTGTTTGAACTTCTTAATGAAGTTTCGTTTGATGTGATGCTTGGAAGCAGGAGAGGAGGGGAAGGGGAGAGTAAGAAAAACTTTATTTTTAATATTTAATCAAGTGAACATCAAGGAGCTCCATCAGTAAGGGTGCCACAAAATAACAGTGTTACCAATACTGCATAATGCTCCAAAACAAAATTTAAGATTTAGGATCATCGGCTATTGGTGCTCAAGCAAATTGTCAAAATATTAGAAAGTTTATTTATACAAGACTTTGGGGTTGTATGCTGGAGTGTTTCAGGTGTAGGGGTGGGGCTGGAGAATCTCAGGTACAAATAAGCAATAGAAGCCATGGGTGATCTTGGGCCAGTCAAAACCTTTCAACCTAATCCACTTTATAGAACTGCTGGCGCAGGGAGAAAGGCAGGAGATAAATTTAACAAAGTATGATGGCACCAGGCCCATTTCCAATTCTGCCCCTTTCTTATTTACTAATGAGATCATGAAGGAATATTAAGGTTTTTCCAGCGCAGCACAAACACGGTGTTCTGAGCAAAATAATATTCACAATATAGACTGTTTTAAAATGAGCAAAATAATATTCACAATATAGAAAATGGTACCACCTTTATCTTAATATGTACATCAAGGATATCTGGAATACTGCCGAAGATTGTTTTGATTTCTTCTGGTGCAAGAATAGGGCCTCCAAGCTGTCCTTCCTTTTCCAAAGGGACTTGAAAGACCTGAAGGGGAGAAAAAAGTAGGTCAGCAATTTTATGAAAACTATTTGGCCAATAAACGTTCAGCTCTGGATGGAGCCAATAGCTTGGACTCTAGCCAAAGATTACAGGGTCGTTAAAAAGGGAATTACGGTAGTATTATCAAATTATACGTGGACTATGGTAGAACGACTGTATTTACATACATGCACGCACTGATGTTTTGTGTAGGCTGGTAGGTCAGACAAAACTTGATAAATTATTTCTCCCATGCTTTTTGTTCCTGTGAATCTCTCTGTCTGTCTCTTTCTCTCTCAGAAGATACTGTCCTCTAAGTCATATGTGTCAGGGTTCCAAGTAACAGACCCAATGAAATCAAAACTGTGAGGCCTGGAGTTTCCTCAATGTAAGAATTTATTAGGAATGCCATATTGGCACAGACTCTCTAGGATCCGAGGTTTTCTCCACCCAAATCAAAACCCAAAGTTCTTCACACATCCATCACATGGCCCAATCAGGTCAGTCCTCCTTTGGCTGCCTTTGGTCCACGTCTTCCATCCACCTGGTGGGGATGTCCTTGGCTCCCACGAGAAAGAATGTTGTTTTGGCTAGTTTCCCCCATACTATCTCATCTCCCCTCTCACGTTCCCACAGCTGCAACCAGCCTTGCTGTGGCAGCCCTGAAGATTTCCAAAATGGTTTCAGGGCTTGTCCTTTAAACCACAGGTGTCATTTCATGCCGTATTAAAAATAAACCTCCAGAAAAAGCTGAGAGATTCAAATCCCCAACATGGGATTTAAGATTTTTGTACAAGACAGACAAACCCAACATAGGGGCACCTCAGGTTAAAACATTCACGCATGATGGACCAATGTTTCTCAACCTCAGCATCTCTAAGAAAGGTCGACTTCAACTCCCAGAATTCCCCAGCCAGCTTTGCTTTGAAGCCCACCCATCTCAAAGTTGCTGAGGTTGAGAAACACTCTTGCCAGACAGACCCCACACATCAGCTTCAATTCAAACATGCTACATTGGGGGCAGGGGGGGAGAGAGATGGGTGCTAAAGACTGCTAAGATAAGCAAGATACTCAGAAATCATTACCAAATTAAAAATATAAATGAATAAATGACAGAAGCCAAAGGTACTATTTTGATAAGTGAAGCAGCTCTACTTTAGCAGCTGCCTCAATTACCATGTATGGAAGAATAAGAGGCTTCTCCCTTCTTCTTCCAAAGCCGTCATGCTCACCCCCACACCCCCATTCATTCCAGAACAGCACAGGTGATGGACCTGGAGTCAGAGAGGGAAATAAGGAAATTATCTTTCCTTTCTTCTATAATACCTAACAGGAGAATAGAATAGAATGGAATGGAATGGAATGGAATGGAATGGAATGGAATGGAATGGAATAGAATAGAATAGAATAGAATAGAATAGAATAGAATAGAATAGAATAGAATAGAATAGAATAGAATAGAATAACAGAGTTGGAAGGGACCTTGGAGGTCTTCTAGTCCAACCCCCTGCCCAGGCAGGAAACCCTACACCACTTCAGACAAATGGTTATCTAATCTCTTCTTAAAATCTTCCAGTGCTAGAGCATTTACAACTTCTGGAGGCAAATTGTCCCACTGATTAATTGTTCTGTCAGGAAATTTCTCCTTAGTTCTAGGTTGCTTCTCTCCTTGATTAGTTTCCACCCATTGCTTCTTATCCTGCCCTCAGGTGCTTTGGAGAATAGTTTGACTCCCTCTTCTTTGTGGCAGCCCCTGAGATATTGGAACACTGCTCTCATGTCCCCCCTAGTCCTTCTTTTCATTAATCTAGACATACCCAGTTCCTGCAACCATTCTTCATCTGTTTTAGCCTCCAGTCCCCTAGTCATCTTTGTTGCTCTTCTCTGCACTCTTTCTAGAGTCTCAACATCTTTTTTATATCGTGGCGACCAAAACTGAATGCAATATTCCAATATTGCATGAATGCAATATTTAAGATATCTTAAAAAGTTAAATCATGGCAACTGGACCAAAGTTTATTAAAACTGAGATGTTTTGATACTCATCCTAGTAACTTCTTCAGTCAAAATGAGAATTTCGGTAGGCAGACAATTGTTAGAAAGAACCAGCTCTTGCCATACAGACTGCAAGGGGTTTCATCCCCAAAATGAAATAAAATTTTTAATAAACTGTGGTCCAGTTGCCAGGATTTAAGCTTTTAAGATACTTTTGGAATCTTTTGGATTGAATCATCCCTAACTGGTTGCTGCAGTATCAGTCTTAACACAAGTCACTTAAAGCATCAATTTAAGAAACAATGCAGTAAATGAAGCAACTTACCTGGATTACAGTTGTCAGGATATCTACATAGTTGCTTTCTGTCTGATAGAGCTCCTTTGCAACCTGCCATCTGGCGGATTGCTTTATAGGAAAGGGAGATGTGTTTTTGGATGGCTTTGCGCAGGATTTGGGAGTTTCTGCGAAGGACGGAGAAATAATTATGACACTTGTTTTTTTTAAAAAAAAATGGCAGGAAATTTACTACGGAAGCTAAGAAACGCTCTTAAAATGGAAAGGCCAATTTAAGAACTGGGACTGAGTAAAATTCTGAGTTTCAATGACTGCCCAAAACAAAGCAGCAAAAGTAACTGCAGACGTCATCTTCAATATCATCAGGTGATTCTGTAGTTATGTCCACTACTTTCTCTCCGTGAAAATAACGGCTGACTATCATATCAACGCCATCAGGGAAACAACTAGAGCAGGGGTCTCTAACCTTGGCAACTTTAAGCCTGGCGGACTTCAACTCCCAGAATTCCCCAGCCAGCTTGCTGGGGAATTCCACCAGTTGAAGTCCGCCAGGCTTAAAGTTGCCAAGGTTGGAGACCCCTGAACTAGATTACTCTGAACTTGTACAATTTGCTGTGAGAAGTTTAATTGCTAGGAATTTTAGATACGATATGAATTCCAAATAGCATCTAAGCAACCTGCTAGCAACCCAAACATGTAGTTGAAACTAACATTTGAATTTGACTGAGATTATTAGTCAGATCCAATTACCCAACTATGATTGCCATCAGCAGGTGTTCCAGCATTTTAAAAAAAATGTATAGCCTTTTTTTGCTGGTTGTTCCTCTCACTTCCTGCATTTCATAGATGAATCATAGAGCTTGAAAGGACCTCGGAGGTCTTCTAGTCCAACCCCTGGCTCAAAGCAGACAACCTTATACCATCTTGGTCAAATGGTTGTCCAGTCTATTTTTGAAAACCTCCAGTGATGGAGCTCTTACAATCCCAGGAGGCAAGCTATTGCATTAATTGTTCTGTCAGAAAATTTCTTTTTGCTTCTTTTTAATAAGTTTCCACCCATTACTTTTTCTCCTGTCCCCTTGTTTGTGACAGCTACCCCACCCCCCCAATGACCAAGTACTGGCAAACAATTGTCATGTTCCCCCCTAATCTTTCCCCTCGATAGGCTAGACATATTGAGTTCCCTCAACTATTGGTCATAAAATTTAGCCTCCAGACCCCTTTATCATCAAATGCTTGCGCTCCTTGGAAATGCTTATTTTTATATATAACATCTCCAGGGAGAAAGCTGATTTGCAAGGGGATTCTCCAAATTGACCCAATGTTTCGTTCTGAAATTGTCCCTTTGATGCCAGAGTTGCACCGAAGAGTTGGATTTTAAGCCAACAGCCCTTTCTATATCTAAAAAACACTGTCAGTCAACCCACCATCACCTTGTGAAGTTCTCAGCATGCTTATAGCTGGCGATTGTTGACACAAGACATCTTTCAAAACCGGGACAGAAGGAAGCCTGGCATGATTTATTTTATGTTCCATTGGCAAAAGAAAATATTTTTGGAAATTCATTTGAGGCGTTCCATTAACTACGCTTTCAGGTACATTACTGCTAGTTGCCTCGGCTGTTTGTGGCAGACTTTCTAATGAGTTTATGTAACATCTACAAGAAAAGTTATCCAAAGAAATGCAACTGGTGTTTCTGCAGGATCTCTTCCTCATCCGACTAAGCCTAAGGACATCAGAGGTGCTTTTCTGTCTATCTTTCTCCGGGCTCAATTCTAGACTCTTCCCTGCATAGTTTGAGAAGGAAAAAGGCCTGTTACTTCATATTGGCAGAACGACCCAGTGGTGTTTTATTTTCATGAGAAACATCAAAATATACAGAGATAGTTCGGCTATACCTCCGTTAGCCATGCTCGACTCTGGTGTATTAGAAATGTCCAGTAAAGATCCTATGGAAAGAGAATGCTCGGCCGATGGCCGTTTCCGAGGTGGGAAGGGAGACATGTCCGTTTCTCTGGTCAACTGAGCAAGGGTTTCTCTCAAACGCCGTCTCTTCCGGTTGCTGTTGGGAGTATTTAGCGAAAGGACCGAGGTCGAAGTCTTCAATTCGGGACTGTCTGCCTATAGTGAAAGGCAAGACATACAGATTAGTAATTGTTTTCCTTTTACAGTTCAGGTTCTGTACAGATGACCAATTTTTGCCATTCAAAGTTATATTACAGGTAATCTTCGATTTACCACAACTGATTCCAAAATTTCTGTGGAAACATTCATTAAGTGAATTTTGCCATTTTACGACCTTTCTCGCCACAGTCGCTAAGCAAATCATGGCAGTTGTTAAATAACAAACACGGTTGTTCGGTGAATCTGGCCTCCCCCGCTGAATTTGCTGGTCAGAAGGTCGCAAAATTGATTTACATGACCCCCACCCCCCCGACACTGCAACCGTCATAAAGATGAGCCGGTTGCTAAGCATCTGCATTTTGTTCAGGTGACCATGGGGATGCTGCAATGGAGCGTGAAAAACGGTCAAAAGTCACTTTTTTCAGTGACGTTGTAACTTTGAACTATCACTAAACGGACTGTTGTAAATTGAGGATTACCTGTATTATTATTATTTTTCCTTGCAAGTTTAGCGCGGAAAATACATTGAGAGATTCTGTAGAGATTCTCAGTCATCCAGGTCGTGGTGTTGTCCCAAAGGTGCTTTTTCAGGAGGCAACTGGACTTTCTTGTTTTTCTTTTGAAGATGTTTCGCTTCTCATCCAAGAAGCTTCTTCAGCTCTGATAGGATCCTGTCAGAGCTGAAGAAGCTTCTTGGATGAGAAGCGAAACATCTTCAAAAGAAAAACAAGAAAGTCCAGTTGCCTCCTGAAAAAGCACCTTTGGGGGCACCATTTGCAAGATATTTCGGCTTGATTTTGCCAATTGTTCCCCAAATTCTCCATTTCCTTGCATAGCAGCATACCTTTTCGAATAAATACATCGATTCTCCAGCTCTGGCATCCATCTGTATGCTTCCCCAGAACCACTAGAGGGAGAAAAAGTATTTTCTGTCATTTATTCAAGCCGGTGCAACTATCTATCATTCCACGGTTAAGAATAGCGACTGAGCATGGCTTACATTATAAAACCTATAAAATCCAGAAAACGTTAATTAAACAAAATGTGTTTTAAGAATCCAGGAAAGCTATTTTTAGACTGACCTCTTGCTTTACAACAAAAAGGCTTGGAGAGGACTCAAATGGAATATTTTTTACTGTGTTTTCTTCAACTATAAGATGAGTACAACGTTCATCACCAACAGGCAAATGCTGTCCTCCTGTGGATGAAAAGAAATCAATTGCCTGTCATTTTCTAACTTTTTTTGCATTCTGCTGTTATGAACGGTGCATAATAGGAAATAAAAAGATATAAATGGTAAAGACAATTATCACAATGTAGTAATAAAACATCAAAGCTAAGGTTTGCTCAACGCAACTATTTAGAAAGGAAGTTACAAAAGAAATGTAAAGCTTATTGGTTTAAATAAAGGTAGACTTTTGACATCTTCCAGTAAGGGAGTGAGTTTTGCTCTCTGTTTATAAACAATAGCTGGATGTAAGTTGTTGAATGTAACCCTAACAGTATAATAGCTGTCTAAAACAGATACTGTATATAAATAGAAAGCAAACTCCACGCTCCCTTCTAGCATTGAAGATGTTATCTAGTCTGGTAATGAAATGCCTGTAAGCAAACCACCAAGTTCAGAGAGCATCAAGAACTCCAAAGACGTACATGAACTGGAATATCCATATTACTACCAGATTTTTTATTATACAAAATCAACTGCTATTCTATCTAAATATTCAGAATAAATAAAATTTAATAAAACTTCACTCTTGAGATTAGTACACAAAATGTCTACATTGTGGTGTCAGTTACAATGGCAAGTTCGTCTGTCTAGGAAATCCATATTGTAGTATGGCACAAATTTAGTCATAATAGAATAGAATAGAATTCTTTATTGGCCAAGTGTGATTGGAAACACAAGGAATTTGTATTTGGTTCCTTTGCTCTCAGTGAACATAAAAAGACAAGATACATTCGTCAAGAGCCTTGGTAGTACGGTGGTCTAAAGCACCCTGTTATTAAGACCAGCTGCCTGCAATTACTGCAGGTTCGAATCTCGCCAGGCTCAAGGTTGACTCAGCCTTCCATCCTTTCTAAGGTAGGTAAATTGAGGACCCAGTTGTGGGGGCAATAAGCTGACTTTGTATAAATATACAAAAGAATGAAGGCTATTGCTTAGCGCATTGTAAGCCGCCCTGAGAAGGGCGGCATATAAATCAAATTAAAAAAAAAAAAAAGAATCATAAGGTACAACTCTTAGTGATAGTCATAGGTTACTAATAAGCAATCAAATCATACTAGGGAATGAACAGAACAATATAAAGGAACATGGTTATGATTTAATACCACAGGATGGCTAAAAAGTAAGAATGGGTTAGACTGAATTGTAAAACCAGCCATAACTTTCTCATATTTACCTTGCATTTCTGTCATTTCTTCCATGTTCTTTTTCTCTTCCTCAGAGAATCCAAGAAAACTTAAAATGCAGTCCTGAAATGGTGGCACTTTAAATTCTTTTCTAAATTCTTCATCAGCAGCGCAAAAGTCACTAAAAGAGGGAAAGGACACAGAGAAAAGAATGAATTTAAGGCAACCCGTATTAAATTTTATTTCCTATTATTCTGAAATACTTGCTTTCAAGCTAAAAAAATGCTATGCAAGGCCTTTCTCCAGGAAAGATCATACATACATGACATTTCTTCTCTCCCAAGATTTATAAATCCACTCTGCTTTCATGATTGGAGTGCCAAGACTCACAGCTACCTGAAAACCAAGACAAGGAAAGACACATTTCATTTTAAAGTGCTGTTAACAGATCCATATGTCTATTTCACCTTCTTGGCCTTGATAAAGCCTTTAAGGTTTTTAACAAATATAGAGAGGCAGGAGATTAAATGAGTCTGGGTTTCAATGAGTCTTCTAGATACAGAAAATTAAAAGGGCAAGGGAACATATCTGAACTTTACAAACAAGTATTACAAATGCAACTCAGGTGTTCATATCTATTGATTGAGCTATTCAAAAGTAACATCACATTCTAGTGTAATTTCATGACAATCAGAAATTTTGCATTCTCTCTGCAGCCTACATATATAAACTATAAAGCAGAAAATTTTAATTATCCTTCTAAACAGCATAAAGACTTTATTTGTTGTGGCCCACCAGCAGAGCTAGCAGCAGATTCAGACAGTGAGGTTGGGGAGGAACGTGGGCCAGTCCTGGAGTCTGGGGAAAGCTCGGACGAGGGCTCTGACTCGGAGGCAGAGAGGGGGCCAAGGCCATCTGGCAGTTCTTTGCTGTCTCCAGAGTCTGACATCAGCGAGGCAGAACAGTGGGAGCCTGTTCCCAGTGTTCGCATGCGCAGAGCTGCCAGGAGACAGGAACAATTAAGAAAACAGGGTCGATTTGGGAGTAAGGCTTGGAGATGATTGGCCCCTCCCATAGGACATAAAAGAAAAGCGAATGGGACATGAGCTTTTGCAGGAAGCAATTCGTTCATCTGGTCCGTAAAAGCTGTGGAAAAGCTCTGTTTGACTCTGTGCTAAATTTGGCCTTGCCCTGCATGTGGCAATTAGTTCTCTGGCAGCATTCCAAGGAAGATAAGGTGGGTGTTTATAAACACTCCCCAGCACGACTGTTTGAGAAGCATTTCCGACGGGGAATGACAATAATTCACAGCCGTATGAATTAAAGAGGTTTCCCGGGACTAAGTTTGTTCTGTATATTTTCTAAGAAAGCCTAGGTCAGAACATTATTTAGATGCAAACCAATATGCTTTAGTCGTTAAAGCAATCAATTAATCCACATAAGAAACATTGGTTAGAACAATTACAACATTTTCGTTTAAGTTTTGAGAAGGACACATTCATTCATTTATATCTACCATCCTTCATATTTGGATATCACACTACTTCTACTATTATGTAGCTTTAGATAAAATCAACGCCTTGTTTTTTAAAGGAAACAATTATTGGCATTTAATTTATTGGCATTTATTGGTGTTAAAGGCATTTAAATAACAACACACTGTATTTTACTGAAAAACAAAGTGCAAAAAATAACAGTATTATACCCTGATGATGAGACACCCCTTGTCTATAACCAATACTTAGGTACTGGCTTGCTATATAATTTCTATATTAGGGCATTTGCTGCATTTTTCTGAAGGACAGCAAGAGGTTGCCCTTGATGGATTACAAGTGATCAAATTATCAAATAACATAACACATTCTATTCAATTTTGCAGACATGCTACAAAACATTAGCATGCCTTGTAGCAATAAAATATATAACTAGGAGCTTTAAATGACTCTTATAGTGTTCAACATAATGGTTCTGACCACTTTTAACCACACAAAATGTGTTGTTAAACAATATCAGAAGAATTCCAAAAGAACCATTATTTTCCCTTCATCACAATCATAGAATTAATCACAAGGGAGGAAGTTAAAACAAGGTTCCCCTCATTCATGAAAGCAGGAAGCTATGTCAAAATATAGATTATTGGACATGTTTTGTAGCTGTACTCACAGATGAGGCTCATCAATAAACGTCATTGCAGTATTTTAAGATTGCATCCATGGATCAAAAGTCTATTTCTGTATCCCCCTTGCTGCTTTCAGAATTAGACCTTGAACTCAATATCCATTCACTGCTTTTAAAACCTTGAATGTTTTGTTTTTTTAATTCTTTTGTTTGTTGTTATTCGCACTTAGCCAAATATTCTGATATCTGTAAAAAGGAAATCTACACTTGAACCCTTAATGGAAATTTTGAATTCACTTACTCTGAATTTGTCTCCTTGTGTAGAGTTAGCCACTAGATGTGTAACTTTGGAACTGAAGTCCCGCCGAATAATCCCTCCCATATGATGAACCAAGGTCACCAGTTTAACCTAAAAGCAAAATTGAAGCACAGTTGAGCAGGTTGAAATAAAATTGCTGCTGGACAAAGCAAGGGTGTCATTTACACCGCAAAGTAATTTCTCTTGCTGGTTTACCTAGGACTCGGGAGTCTGCAACCTTAAACACTCAAAGAGCCATTTGGACCCGTCTCCCACAGAAAACACCGGAAGCCACAAAACCTGGGTGGGTGTGACCAACTCGACGTCACTCACTTCCACCAGTCACATGACCCACTAGCCATGCCTATCCAGCCGGTCATTAGGGCAGAGAACCAGTTTTTAAGAACTACTAGGAACCACAAAATCTTTTTGACATCTCTCTCTCTCCCCCTCCCCCCACCTCCATCTTTCTTTCCCCCTCTCTCTGTATCTCTCTATGTCATTCTCTCTCCCCCCTCTCTGTATCTCTCTGTCTCTGCCCTGGCCAATCCTCCATCCCCCGCCCTTACTTTCTCAGGCCAGGCGAGTAGTGACTGGGAGGGGAGTGTGAGGGGCAGGGCCAGCCAGGTGTGGGATCACCCGACAGGGAGCCACAGCAGAGGGCCCAAAGAGCCGCATGTGGCTCCGGAGCCACAGGTTGCTGACACCTGACCTAGGTAAACTTAAGCTTCACAACAACTGTACAAATTCAGTTTGAATTCCTACATCACTTTAAACCATGGCTTCTTTAGCGACAGTTTGACTAAATTATAAATTGGCTTGATTTATACAAACAATGCTTTACAAACCACAGTTGCCAAGTACCGAAATGTATTAAAGCCAAACTCAAAACAAATCATTTGTCATTATGTGTAAAGTTAACGCTCCTATAATCTGTTTCATGGATATTACCAATTAAATCTTAAAAATTGAATGGAATTTAAAGCCCATGTTTGCATGGTGTAAGTCCAACATAATATTAATAGTCAACAAAGTACTTTTTTGTTCATTTGAAATGAATGTGTTGGATCAGATCAATCTAATGAAGCACTCAGAGGTTCTCTGTATCTAAATTCTGAAGCTCTACTCTACTACCAGATAAGGCCAAGCTTGACGCTGATGTCCAAATATTAACTAATATTGCGATTGTTCACAACAACCATATTAATAAACATTTGTAGAAAGGAAACGTTCTTACCAGTTCATCTTTCTTCCTGAATCCTGTGAAGCATAACACAAGATTCACCATATTTGTGCAGTACAGGGGACGACACGTGATGGGTAGAGGCTGAAAGAAAATCTAATTAACACCATTTCCAAAAGTTTTGTTTTTATGTTTGTTAAATTTATTTTAACCAAAAACCACAATCAAGAGCCTCTTTAATATAGTGCAATTGCAAGGCCTTAAGAAAACAGGACTCTGAATTCAGAAGGGATAATACTAATACTAATAACAGCCACAAGACTTGTATGCCCCTTGGCTCTTTGGATGCATTCCAAAGATCCCTGAGAAGTTTTAAGCCTAGGCTGTCACAAGACCATGGGCTTCTCTCAAACAGGCTGGATCCAAGCCACACAGTATTTTAAAGATAATGGGCGCTTTGTATTTCGCAAGGAAAGAAACAAACAGTCAGTGCCAACTTTTTAGCACATGTCTGATGTGGCTTCCTTTTGCTTTTCCCGAGGACAAACCAGCTATTGCGGTTTGCATCAATTGCCAGTTCCAGGCTAGACTCAAGGACAGTCCATGGAAAGCATCTGATAAAATGAAGTGGAGAAGTTAGCAGCATACGCCCCACCATGATAAGGTCCTTTTCTTCTAGTAAAAGACAAAGTTGCTATTTCAACCAAAGCCGACAAAAATTGTTCCTGACTTCAGAAGATTTCACAGCAACAAAAAAAATAAAAATAAAATAAAATTGGACCTTATTCAGAACAGGGGAAATCTATCCTTGTGACTCCTGACAATTGTGCTTGGATTCAATTTCATTTTACTATCTCTCACCCGGCCCATTACTGACGTTAGCCAAGCATTCGGGGTACCATGTCATTATCTGAAGATTTCACAGAGAAATACATTGAGTGTCATCACCCAACCCCATACCCCTAATGATCTCTCCCAGCAGGTTCACTTCAATGCTGCAAAATACTGGAAAGAACTAAGCCCCGAGGGATGCAATATAATAGCGTGTCTTCAGAAGCCCATTGCTGCCTATAGAAAGTGCTAGCAGAGGAAGTGTTTTGTATGGTATGAAGCATCTCAAAGAGAAATGTGTTCCTCACACACCCCAAAAAGATGAATCGTACTGACACTGCAGAACAAGGACTTCACTGCAGCAAAGTACATTCAATTCACACAGCCCCAGCAGCAAAGTTACTAAATATCTCTCAAACGCTCATGTTATTAGACATTGGGAGACATTATCATTTTTCAGAAATGATTTTCAAACAAATCCATACAGATGCCTATTCAAGTACTTGCTTAGAGTTCATTATATTTCCATACTGGAAGTTTTAGCGTAGTTTTGCTATTCCTGCTTTTGCGAAGATTACTTTCAATAAGCTTCTGATAAGAATAGCAGCACATTCAAGTAAAGTAAAATGTTTTTAATTCAATGACAGGAGAAGCCATCAACTCCATTCAGCAGATATATCAAATATATTTTAAAAGGCAGCAATTTTCCATGTCGCTTTTATTGCTTTCTTACCTCGCCTTTTTTAGCACACTGAAATACCACTGGGGGCCCAAGGATCCTGCAGTCTGCCTTGTTCATGTTACTAAAAATGGGTTCTTCGAAGTCCGATATTACAAAGACAGCCTCAACCTCCGGTGATTCAGAGTCATCACACGTTTTCATAGATTCCATCTTTATGTAGGGCACTTTAATGTCCTGCATTGTTTCAAGATAGATATATATTTATAAATAACATATATGTAGCAATACCAATGGCGCTTAAGAGTTATATACGGCTTCATAGTGATTTACAGCCCTCTCTAAGTGGTTTATAGCGCCAGCATATTGGCCCCAACAATCTGGATCCTCGTTTTACCAAAGATGGAAGGCTGAGTCAACTTTGAGCTGGTCAGGATCGAACTCCTGACAGCGAGAATGTAGAATTAGCCTGAATACTGCATTCTAACCACTGTGCCACCACGGCTCCTGTAGGTTTTCTATGTTGTTCCCCCAAAGAACTAACTAGGCCAGTGATGGCTAGCCTTTTTGCCGTTGTGTGCCAAAAGCGGGGGGTCATGCTTGCGCATGCCCATACCCATAATTCAATGCGCCCCACTCCCCACAAGTGTGTGCGACCCTGCTTTTGGCACGCAATGGCCCAGTGGGCCCAGTAGGCCCGTTTTTCGCCCTCCCCTGACTCCAGAGGCTTCCTTGGAGCTGGGGAGGGCAAAAAAGGCTCCCCCCCCCCCCCGAGGGCCTCCGGAGGCCGGAAACGGTCCGTTTCCTGACTCCCGGTAGGACTGGAAGGCCCATTTTTCATCCTCCCCAGGCTCCAGAGGCTTTCTAGGAACCTGAGGAGGGCAAAAACGGCCTCCTACCCCCGGAGGTCTGAAACAGCCCGTTTCCCAACTTCCAGTGGGCCCAAAAGGCCCAAAAATCAGCTGGCGCGCTGGAGCTAAGCTAGGGCAACGGTCACGTGCCCACAGATATGGCTCTGCATGCCACCTGTAGCACACGTGCCATAGGTTCGCCATCACGGAACTAGGCTTTTGAGTGCTAAACACTGGAACAAACATAAACATATGACTGATTCTTCTTTCCAAATAGAAGCAAGACCTATCTAATTTAAAGTCTTATTCTCAGTATAAGACTTGTCAATTTTTATAATCAATTTCATAAAATCTGAAATCAAAGCAGGTGTGTGAACAAGTTCAAAGCAGATTGGTGCTTCTGTTCACCTGTTTCCACATTCACTTCTACCAGGCCCCTTCGTTTATCCTTCTACTAAGTTTTGATAGTAGTGGCTTCCCTCTCTCTACTCCAATCCCAAATAGTGCAACATGCGGCATGCAAACAGAGACACGCTTTTTCCCAAATACCATATGGATGATACTTTTTATTAGTTTTCTTCTGGTTCACCAGAAAGTTTTCATTATTTTATAAATGGAACTTCCATTCTCTTAAAAGCTCTATGTAGGAAAGGAGAACTTCAGTATGAGAACCACACAGTAAATCAGAGTTCCAGATGCAGTGAGATTTTACTATTATCAACAAATTCACAAACCTCTAAGGCTGTTATGAGTTTTTCACATCTTGCAGCTTCCTGAACTAAAACCACCTTGATTTCAACCGGGGGTATTTCCTCTGTTGGGAAAGGAAGGAAATAATCAGCCTAAAGAAAACTTCAAGGGTTAAAGGAATTTATCATCCTTCTCAAAAAGAAAAGTGAAGAAACTGAAAAAACAGATGATTCGTCTACTACATACATCCCAGAAACAAAATCCCTATATCCAAAGTTTCCTGAAAAGCAAATTTGTTCCCAGAGCAGAAATGATATTCTTGCAGACTGTTTTAACCAATTGGGAACAGATTGCAATAGGTCTAGTTGTTAAAAGTGAGCAATCAGAAGAGTCATTACTTCTCCACATAGACAGTAGATTATATGAGCCGTTGGTCACTTTCATACAAAACAGTATTATGTAATGCAAGGATGCCTTACATTTTCAACGAATTAAGGAAACTACCCATGAAAAACAAGAAGAAATCAAAGGTGCTTTTTCGAGAAGCAATTGGACTTCCTTTGTTTTTCCTTGAAAATGTTTCACTTCTCATCCAAGAAACTTCTTCAGCTCTTTGAACTTCTTGGAACTCTTCTTTTAACTTCTTGGGATTTTTTGAAACTCTTCAACTCTTCTTGGAAATCATCCAAGAAGCTTCTTCAGTTCCTTGAGCAATTCCACGAAGAACACACTATGGTATAATCTGGCTGGAAAATGATTAAGGAATTAGTGACAGCCTCCCAATTCAGAGGCAAGTGCAAATGGGGCACAAGACCAATCCACGATATAAGCCTAACCACACTAGCTTGCTACCATGAGATGACCTACAGTACAGAGATTTTCATCCTAAGTCTTTTGTTCATGAAAAGGAATTACCAGAGTTCTCCTAGCTGGCCCACACTCAAATAATTTGCAGGAGGAGCAAACAAACTACAGGTAATCCTTGACTTACAACAGTTCATTTAGTGACTGTTCAAAGTTACAACGGCACTGAAAAGCGTGAATTATGACCGTATTTCCAGTTACAACCTTTGCAGCATCCCTATGATTATGTGATCAAAATTCGGATGCTTGGCAACCAGTTCATCTTTATGACCATTCCCAAGATCATGTGATCCCCTTCTGTGATCTTCTGATAAGCAAAGTCAATGTGGAAGCCAGATTCACTTAACAATCGGGTTACTAACTTATCAACTGGAGTGATTCACTTAACAACTTTAGCAAGGATGGTCGCAAAATGGGGCAAACTCACTTAACAAATGTCTCATTTAACAACAGAAATTTTGGGCTCACTTGGGGTAGTACATTGAGACTACCTGTAGCATTGTATCAGAAATGTGCATTGTTATTTCTGGTGAGCTGCAGAAACCTTTGCAAAGAGCTATTTGCTCATCCACAGAGCAGGATCAACTCAGTTAAATGCATCGCATCATTTGGTCCTGAAGAGGAAGGCAGAGTTATGCTTAACTCCCTTATTTGGGAATTCATCTGGCACAAGTCTTCAAGAAAAAACTTAGGGTTTCTCTTGACATTTTTCAGACAATTTAATTCTACATGTAAAACTCAGTTCCTCAAAAAGAAAAGAAAGAAAAAGAACAAGCTAAGCAGAAAAGCAGCAAATTCTTCACAACAGCAATAGTTGGTGCAGACTCGTCTACAAGACTCGGACCAAGGTAGGTCCTTGTAGAAGGTCAAGTTGGAGTTCTCTCTGCAGTGGTTGTCCCCTGTTGCTGGATATCGTTGTCAGTACCACAGGAAAAAAAAAAACTCCTGATGAGCCAGTTTGAAGGAAGCATTCCAGCCGGGGTTCCTGGAATTGTTAGGCTGCTTGGGAGAACCACTTCTCTTGTTGGCCTGAACTGCCAGCTTAAGATAGCATCAGAGCCAGAAAGCTCTGTGTTCCTTGTTTGAGCTATTCTTGGTGAAAGGCCTGAGCAGGTGACATGTTATCTACCCAGTGGTTAAGTGTGAGGCCTCCAATCCTCTCCTGAACTGGTGAGATTAAGGGGTCCTTGTGCTCTTTGACCTTGGTTGTTTTCTTGCAGAGGTTTCATTACCCAAACTAGGTTTGGTGAGATTGTTCCAAGAAGGATTAAGACTTGTAAAATGTATTTAATGTTTTGCATTGAATTTATTTAGACTCTTTCTAGATTTCACCACTTTAACCTGTTGAATAGCAAGCCCCAACAGAGAAAGCCTCCTTGTTAGTGAAATACTGTGTGGAACATCCATTCACAGATGACCCAGCCATTCTTCCCACATTTCCTCTTAACTGAGAAAAAAAAAACCCCAATTCGGTTATGGCATTTTTTTTTTAGTAATGTACCTATGATTTAATATCTAAGGCTGCAATACGTACTGTAGCAATGATTCGTGTAATGGTGTTGCCTTTCTATTGCTATTTATTATGTTTATTGACATTTGTAGCACCTTAAGGTTCCATTCCGATGCCAAAAAAGAAAAGTAGAAGCATTTCAGTTTGATAAATAAATGCAAACAGATAAGCTTGCAGGCAGACCAACTACATTATGCTTTTTATTGTCTTCAAGCCTAGGGACATTGGTTACTATTATAAATAAATTACAAGCAAATGTGCATTTGAATGTTTATATCCCAAACGCTAAACACACACAGAGAGAACTGCTAGTCTAAAAGGACAGTGTGAGGGGAAGAACGCACTAAAATAAAATTTTACATTACCTCTACTGTCAGAAGCAACTCGGGTGAATACATTTTCCTTGGAATTTTCTATAATTTTTAAGTCAAGAACAGAAGAATCTGCCAAGAGGCTTTTTGTGGTATCAGACATGAATGTAGTGTTCTCAGTCATGGTCAAAATGGCATCTCTCTTCTACAGCTGCAAGAAAAACATCCAATTCAAAAATGACACTAAGCAGAGTAATTACTTAAGATTGTTAGCAATACTGTAATTTTGAGGATTCTCACATTTCATTATTAAGGTTTTCTCTTCACATCCAGTATCAAAGAATCCTTTCCTACCCACCCCCCCACCCCCATTTCATATTTCTACTGCTCCTGTCTGCTGTTTCCACTCAGTCTCCATTACAATATGGAGATTCCAATAGGATTCCTAAAATATGCAGAATCTCTCAGCTGAACAATTACCTACTAAATAACGAGAAAGATAGATTTAAAGGTAATATTTAAATGTGACCGGCAAGACATGTATCTTCATAACTTACAATTACTGAGATTGTAGTGCTGCCAAAAAGATGTACATGACCCAGAATTAGCTGAAGGAAATTATATGGCCCCCTGGAATTCATCATCCATAGGCCTGACAGAATAGTCCAGAAATGAAGAAAGGACATGCCACTGATATACAAAGGCAATCATTTGCCAACTCCATGGAAGTGTATAATCAGACTTAGTACAGACTAAAAAAGGGTTCTCAAATATTCTAAAATATACATACAACATATACCCTTTAATAGTGGACCACCAGTAAAGGGAAACAATTTATTAAGACTGAAATTGACCTACTGCTTTTATTTTAAAGCTATAGCTACAAATCTTTTCTTTACAAAATAAATTTAGAAATAAATAAATAAATTTTATCTCAGAATGAAGTATTTTCATAATGTAAAAAGGACAGTTTTTATTGTGGTTTTTAAGTAGAACTGCAGATGCCATATTCTGCTAAACACAAACCCAACTTTGGAGCTATAATTGGTCTGCCCAATGGAAAAAAAAGTGCATAGCTGATCTAATGGAGGATAACTTCCCATTAAAATAATTCTTGTTCTATTATAATAAAAGTAGAATACAAAAATGTTTTTTCAAATTACCCTAAGCCTTAACAAATGTTTGATCAATGAAACGAAATCCCAGGAATTGTATCTATTGGAGCCAGTGCTCTCATTTTATTCACTTTTTATCCTGTCTTTTATTTTGGGTCAACTCAATGCAGCAAATGCGTGGGTTCCACCAAATGTACCTTGTGAAATGACAGAATCCACACAGCATGCTATTTCCACTGAATCAATCAGCCTGTGGGCTTGCAGATCCGTTGCACTTTTGGCTATCAGAGTAGCATACAGGGAAACATGCCAAAAGCTAAAGCAGGCTTTTGAATAGGTTGAGGAACCTGAGATATTTATTGCCGCACACTGGATAATTTCCAAAGCCAAATACTAAAAAGAGTCAATATGTACTTCATTGATTATAGAAAGCTTTTGATTGTGTTGAACGCGTCTTAACTGCAGAAAGTGTTCAGAAAAATGGGAATACCGTACATATCATTATCCTCATGAGATTTCTGTACAAGCCAAGAAGCCACAGTACATCAGAACAAGAATAATCAGATTGACTCCAGGTTGGCCAATGGGTGGGATAAGGCTGTAATACACTACACTTATTTATTCATCCTATTTGCTGAAGATATATTAAGGGAACTTGATAGAGATGGGTTTAAAATTGGAGGAAGAAACTTCAACAACCTATGCTATAATGAACATCATGCTACCCTGATAGCAAAACTGCAAAGGCTACAAGCCCACATGTGGAAAAGATTCAGTGGAACTAGCATGCTATGAGTTCTGTCATTTAGAAAGGTGCATTTGGTGGAACCTATGCACTGGGCTTTCTGAGCTGTGGCACTAGCGTGGAACATCCTCCCTCTGAGGTGAGACTTGCACCATCACTCTTGACTTTCCAAAGGTCCCTCAAGATTTGATTCAGTCATAGGGCCTGAGGAACTCAGGAACTGAACTGGTGAGTCGACTCTGTCACATTGCTTCAATTGTTAATTCTTTAGCTGTGTTTTAATGCTTTTTAGTACTCATTGTTATTTATTATTTTTAGCTTTGTTATCACTGACAGGTTCAGTTGATTTGTGAGATGGGCAGCTACATAAATTTGAAAAATTAAATAAATATATACATAAAAAAATCAAACTGAAAAAAAATGGGACCAAAATATAAAGAAGACCAAATTAATGGAAATTGATAGAACCACCAGCCCTAGAGCAGACAATGAAGTTATGAAAGTGGTGGATAGTTTCTGCGTTTTAGGATCAACCATCAACAGTAACAAGCAGTCAAGAAATATGCCACAGATTAGCAGTTAGTAGAACAGCCATGAAAGCCTTGGAAATATTCAGATCTGTGGTATATCTATACCTACAAACATCAGAATCGTGCAAACCATGTTATTCCCTATGACACTCTCTGGAGGTGATGGTTGAATCTAAAAGAAACAGGATAGGACGAAGACAACCAGCAGCAGCAAGGTAGACTCAGTTACATTGTTGTGAATGCATCTTTGGTAGATTTGAAAGAATAGGATAGGGATAGAGTTATGGAGAAAATCGATTTATGTGATTGTTAGGAGTCAAAAACTACTGGTCTGGACTGAGAATGGGCCAAAGTCACCCAACTGGCTTACATGCCTATGGAAAGCCAAAAACCATTCTTCTGTTTTTGTAAACAGGAAAGGGGTGCATTATTTGTGCCGCCTTGAGCTGTACGAAATAAAAATGCATGATATAAATCCAATAAATAAAATTGCAGCGCCTTTGTAGAGAAAGAACAAAGCCCCCTTTTTCCTTTGACCTCATCCAGGTTTTGTCACTTGTGCCCATCTTTTTTTATTTTCCTTGTTATTAAATGCTTTTAACAACGTGTAAACTGCCCAGGGCCACTGCAAGTTGGGCAGCATATATTTAATAAATTAGAAATAGTAATTATTATAAATTACTATTGTATTATATATTTTATACTATTATAATAAAATTATTTGGTTTTTAATGTTTTATTATATTGAATAATTTGTACCCTAGCTAAAGCCTCTCTGGGAGGGAGATGGGCACTTAAGAAGTGTGATATATAAATATATCTATATTTATAATATATCTATATTTATAATATATTTATAATATATCCCTTTAGAAGGGAGATGTTTGGTATATATTATATAAATGAGTTTTTTAGTAACTAATGCAATAACAAGGGTTAGGGTTTTGTAAACAAGGTAGATGAGAGATTAAAGCTCCCCTTTCACATACTGGAACCCCAACCTATAGCTTTCCAAACGGGGTAGATCTGAACCCCCGTCCACCTGGTTGGCCAGGCGGATTTAATAACCTAAGCAGGTGCAGCCAAGCAATAAATAAAAAGGAAATTGTCCTATTTATTTATTTATTTCCTCATCAACATAGCCAATCACAGAAGCCTTGTGGCTTCCAGGCGAACCCTGTCTGGCCCTTTCAGAAGAGGCCACGACTTGGTGGCTGTGGATTATGGGAGCCGTAATCCCCCCCTCCCCTCGTCCTCCGCTTTTGGGAAAGGCTGCTCTTAATGGGAAGACTTGCTGACCGGACACGGAGCTACGAGAAGGGCCTGTAATTCTCCCCGCCACCCCGGCCATGCGTCTTTCCTCCCGGTTCCACGCTCACCCCTCTTCCCGCCGCCTCACCATTCAGGGCACCATCACGGTCCAAGCACCAGCCACCATCCCAGAGCCACCCGCGACACCCGGCACCTCCCAATTCAAAAAACGAGCGTCCACTCTCGGACGGCTCCCTATTGGCTGTCACGGGGAGGGGCGGGGAAGCGCGCGCGGCTAGGCTCCGAAATGCCGAGTTCCTATTGGCGGACGATTCCTGGAGGGTGTTCCAGGTCTTCTTTTTACCTTTTACTTGAAAAGTTCTTTAGAGAACGGGCATGTTTTGAATGGGCGGTAGCCGTGGCTTGCTATTGGTCGGGACTGTGTCTCCTCTATCCTATGACGAAGAGGGGAGGGGAAATCTTTTCAGCTGAGCTCAACCCCGCTGTTTCCCGCCTCTTTCGGGAATGAGCTCACCTGAGATTGGTTGGAAGATATGAGGAAAGACTTTACCTTCCAACGGTTGTTAAAAGCGGTTGCGGACAGAAAGACCCGGATTTGCCGTTCAAGCACTACGGTTTCAAAGGCCAGGGTTTGGTCCCGCCTTCGATTTTTTTTTTTAAAAAAAAGCCAGTTCCAGCTTTGCACACGGCTCTCCACGCAAGGATTTCTGGGAATTGTAGTTTGGGAACTTTAGATCCGAACGGAACGAAGATTCTCAGATTTCTTTGAGGAAGAAATAGAGTCCAAAAACATACTTTGCTTTTGGAGAATAACGCCTGGTCTCCTGACATTATTATTGGCGAGCCATGAAACAAAATATAAATATATTTATATATATTCATGGCTCGCCAATAATTTAATTTCAAGCAAAACTTTATGGTTTACCAAGAAGTTTGGTAGCTTGATTCCCCGAAGAAATGGTTATTTAGAATTTAATCCTACGGTTAGAAGGAAAATCCCATCTGGTTCAGTTCCAAGTTGGGAGAAAAACGCTGGAAACAACCCTGACTGCTCTTTAGAAGGCCAGATCCTGAAGATGAAACTCAAATACTTTGGCCACTTAATGAGAAGGAAGGAAGGACTCACTGGAGAAGAACCTAATGCTGGGAAAGACTGAGGGTAAAAGAAGAAAGGGACGACAGAGAACGAGGTGGCTGGATGGAGTCACTGAAGCAGTCAGTGTGAGCTTATGTAGGAAGTTAGCACCCACCCTTTCCTAGAAGAATGAAATATTTTAGGAAATATTAAAAAGGCAGAATATTATATTTCCCTGGATGAGAAATGGAGAAGCATCTTTTAAAAACGAAGCAGCTCCCATTTTCCTGCCCCCACTCTTTGTCAATGGGCCAGAGGCAGAAACTCAATCTTTGTCAATGGACCATCATCTGCAACACAATAGGCCCCATCTAGCAACAGAAACTAACACAATAGGCCCCATCTAGCAACAGAAACTCACCACATGGCACCTGGGAAGATTACATCAGCCAGCAAAGACTAGCTAAGACCCCCACCCTCTGGGAGTCTGACAACCAATCAGGATACTCTTTCTGGGCTCCAGGAAGTTCAAAGCCAGAGAGGGCATAAAACCCAGGGACTCACTGCGTCTCGCCCCTTTTCTGTTCAGGAACTCAAGCTATGTGATCCTGTCCACCATTAAACCATCTTTCCAAGCAGTCTCCATATTTCCAGTGTCTTTTTCCCCACTTGGAGCTGAACCCAGAGGATATTTCTTCTTACACTTAAATGGACTCCAGAGGATGGTAGAGGACAGGAAGCCCCGGAGGAACGTTGTCCATGGTGTCGCGATGGGTCAAACATGACTTCACAACTAACAACAACAACAAAGACAATGTGCAATTCTGGGTCAGGTGACAAAATGGAGTTTAGAGTGGATGGGTTTTTATATCTTCTGGATGCCTATGGGGTTGTAGGAAGTTAGCACTCACCCCTCTCCTAGAAGAATGAAATATTTTAGGAAATATTAAAAAGGCAGAATATTATATTTCCCTGAATGAGAAATGAAGAAACATGTTTTAAAGATAAAGTAGCTTCCTGTCTCCCCCCCCACCACCACCTTAGTCAATGGTCCATTAAGGCCTCAACCAAGCTCACTCATTCCCCCCACCTTTGTCAATGGATCATCATCTGCAACACAATAGGATCCATCTAGCAACAGAAACTCACCACATGGCACCTGGGAAGATTACATCAGCCAGCAAGGCTAGCTAAAAACCCCACCCCCTGGGAGTCTGACAACCAATTAGGATATTTTTCCTGTGCCCCAGGAAGTTCAAAGCTCAGAGAGGGCATAAAACCAAGGCACACTCAGCATCTTGGCCCTTTTCTGCTCAGGAACTCAAACCATGTGATCCTGTCCACCATTAAACTATCTTTCCAAGCTGTCTCCATGTTTCCAGTATCTTTCCTCACTTGGAACTGAACCCAGAAGGATATTTCTTCTAACAGGGTCATGTAGGGGTTATGTAGGAGTCATAGCTGGCTCTAAAGGCAAAAGAGCAAATGCAAATCCTAGGTGTTTGAGCTAATTCTGTCAACTTTTTGCTTCTTGCTTATCTGAATTTCTGTCTTGACCCAGTCTTTCTGAATGGATTACGAAATCTGCATTTTTAAAAGCTGGCCTCCTCAGTTTCTGCTTGAGGGCAGGGAAACTCGGGCTGGTTTCTGCCTTCCCTTAAGATTTTTTTCATTTCTCCTTTAGGGGAAATATTTTATTCTGCCTTTTTAATATTTCCCAAAATATTTCATTCTTCGGGTGGGGGGCGCTTCCCACACTACTATGTCCAAAGTTCAGCCAGAGTTCTCACTCAGGCACAAATAACCAGGCTGAAATGAACTTAGTTTGGATTCATGGTGTGAAGACCCTACTCTGGAGAAGGCTCTGATTCTGGGAAAGATGGAAGAAAAGAGGATGATCAACAGCAAAATGGATGGATTCAATTTATACTGGCTGAGTGCACTAAGGTTAGAGATTGATCATCACGGGCAAAATCTATGTGGCTGCTCCTAGATGAAAACAACTTAATGGCATTAGCATCAAAATCATATCCAAGGTAAGGTACTCTCAGATTAAATACATTCAACACATCTAAGATAATTAGTGAATTAAACCCCTTTCTAAGCTTGTACCAGCTGCTAAACCATAATATACAGGTAATCCTTGATTTATCACCAAAACTGAGCCCAAAATTTCTGTTACTAAGCGAGATATTTGTTAAGTGAATTTTGCCCCATTTTACGACCTTGCTTGCCTAAGTTGTTAAGTGAATCACTACAGTGCTTAAATTAGTAAAGCGGTTGTTAAGTGAATCTGGCTTCATTCAAAGCCAGAAGGTCGCAAAAAATGATCACGTGTCCTTGGGATGCTGCAACCATCATAAATATGAGTCATGTTGCCAAGGATCTGAATTTTCATCATAAGAGTCATTAAGTGTGAAAAACGGTCATAGGTCACTTTTTTCAGGGCTGTTGTAACTTTCAACTGGTCACTAAGTGAATTTTTGTAAGTCGAGGACTACCCCGTTATTGGGCAGCCTGACCTGACTAGCATATTTCTATAAGCAGCATTTTATAACTACATGTATCTTTCTTGTTTTGTAAGTATTATTCTAGGTCAGCCATAAAGATGTCAACATATTGAGGTGCCATGTATGTGCCCATACCTAAGGCATTGATTTCTAGGTACATTTATTGCCATAGAGGAAATAGTTATGGGTGCGGCAGAAAGTCAGACATTCTGGAGGCAAGACATGCTGCTTTGGCACAAGTGATGATGTTATGGATCGCTTCAAGTCCGTGTTCACTTCCTTGAGTTATTTATAAAAAGAATGAAGACTGCATAAAAAAATAATATATAGTGGCTCAACATCCATAGTGGCTAAAATGGCATTGTCAATGAGATTGCTTATGGAGTCTTACCAGAAAGGGAGCCTATCTCTTGGCACCACATCCTTGAATTCTAAATATGAAGCTTATTCATTTATGCATTCATTTTTATTTATTTATATTCTGCCTTTATCATTAATTTTACAAATAACTCAAGACAGCGAACATATCCAGTACGCTTTCCTCCTCCTATTGTCCCCATAACAAAAACACTTACGAGGTGGGTTGGGCTGAGAGAGTGCCCAAAGTCACCCAGCTGGCTTTGACAGCTAAATCGGGATTAGAACTCACCGTCTCCTGGTGATTGGCCCCAAATCACCTAGCTGGCTTCCATGGTATTTGCGCTCACGGTCTCCCACTTTCTAACCCAGTGCCTAAAACACTAGATCAAACTGGCTCTATATTTGGATCTTCTTGCATGTAGGTTGGTCTCCTGTTTACACAGGGGCTTAATTGTGTGCGGTATAATTACGTATGAAGCTATGCCTTGTTATTTCTTCCAGCATTAAGTTATGAAAAAGATGTTTTTATTTTTCACCAATTTGGCCATTTTATCAGATGCGAATGGAAGATACCAAGAGAAATGAACCTACTTTACAAGAAGCAGAGCCCTTAACTATCTTGTTGTGCTTATATGCAAGATGAATATTTTAATTCCTGTTTCAGGCCAATACCCTTGCCAAGCGCAATTATATCTATACCGTAAAGAAATTTTACAGATTGTTGATGTAACAGTATCAATCATTGATTAAAAGGCTGTGGTTTGAAGAAAACAAAATTCCAACTTATCTTATTTTTGTTCCTAACTAAATCACTTAATATGCCTGGGAGAGTATGCATTTGGTTTCACCTATGAATATCAAAATAATGATTCTATTGTCTGCTGTTGCATAAGGTATCATATGTAATATACTTAATCCACTGTGTGCTTACAGTATCAAGACTTTTATGGAATAGAGTGGGATAGCTTCTGAGAAATTATACATCAAATTAAGTTGTGCATTTCAGTGAGAAACATCTGGTGGCATTTATCTCTAAAAAATGAATTATATAAAGTTATCATAATTGCAGGATGGACGAAATAAAAGTCAAGAGGCTATTACTGTGCCATAAAGCTTTAACTCTCTTAGTACGGTGTATGTTATCTTACAGATCATAAAAGAGCATGATGATGTATGCACAGATTGGTAAAGTTGCAAGCTGTTCTTAAGGACATGTCAGTTACTCATTTTTCAAA